TTACTATTACTTTTATTAGTATTACTACTACTACTACTACTACTACTACTACTACTACTACTACTACTACTACTACTGCTACTGCTACTGCTACTGCTACTGCTACTGCTACTGCTATTATTACTACTACTAGTATTATTAGTATAATACTACTACTATAACAATTACTACCACTACTTCTACTGCTACTACTACTTCTACTACTACTAGTACTACTAGTACTACTTCTACTACTACTACTACTACTACTACTACTACTACTACTACTACTACTACTTTTCCTACTACTACTATTACTACGACTACTACTACTATTGCTACTATTACTTCTACTACTACTACTATTATTAGTATTACTACTGTTACCACTATTACTACTACTATTATTACTACTATTATAATTACTACTATCGCGATTATTACTATTATTCTTACTACTAGTACTATTAGTAGTACTACTATTACTACTATTACTATTTTTGTTACTAATACTACTATTACTACGACGCGACTTCTACTATTACTTTTACTACTACAACTACAACAAACAACAACAACAACAACAACTACTACTACTACCACTATTGCTACTGCTACTACTACTACTACTACTACTACTACTACTACTACTACTATTACTACTCCTACTACTACTACTACTACTACTACTACTACTACTAATACTACTAATATTGTTACTATTACTACTATTATTTTCGCCGAGTGTCCGGTATGCATTTTGGGTTTTGTCAGTCTAGTTCCTTCACTGTCACTTCGTAACTGCTCATACGGTAGAGAAAGCGATAGAAGGCGCGTTGCTTAAGTCCTTCTTTTTCAAATCCTGCAGCTGCCAATTTATGGTTGGTGGACATGTTTCTGCCAACAAGGTTTGCGCTCACAAGCCAAACAACGACGCGTCTTCCCGCGCTGCTGAATTCACTTTAGGTGCATTGCCGTCTGTCGTCATTGCAAATCACTGGCACCACAGACAAGTCTATCTTCAACATGCTCAATGTTCGGAAGACGAGGAGGTCGAAAGGTCACGCTGCCCACATGCTTCCCAAGATCAAACCGAATTGGCAACACAAGCCTCACGCTGGGCGATTGTACCAACTTCACGGTTCCATCGCTCAACTGCAATGTAGTCCAATGACTTGTGTTGTTCAACACGGGGGCCCAAGTAGCAACCACACACGTACCGACCAACAATGTCTTCAGAGTTCGCCGGAGGTCCTGGCGTAAGTACGGTGGCTCCAAACACATACGTCTGATGGGTCTTGTAGGTGTTCCGACGCAAGCACTGCAAAGGTGTCAACTTTGAACCTGAGGTTTAACGCAAGACCGCATGAACAGATTTTTTCAAGGTTTCCACCGCTCTCTCTGCAACTGACGCATGACGACCTGCTGCAAACTGTTCAATCTGACCTGACGCAGACTTACTTGTTCTGATTTGGCACTGCTGCGTTCGCTTGCAGGGCCTCAGCCTTGGTGTGGGCCTGGTCCTGTGGGCGATGCTTCCAGCAGCGGCTGGGCTGAGCAGTGGTGCAAGTCAGACAAATCAGAACCAGATGACTGTCAAACTTGTGTTTGTTGAGTCTGACTGCATGAGTTGGTTTGCAACACACCCCTGCAATCCTGCAAAAAAGGACTGCACACAGAGCTGCCCAGTCTCTTGGGCAATTCTGCTGCTGTTCGCATATGCCCGTGAGCCCAAGGCTCAATAATTGCCATCTCCAGCCCAATGCTGCTTGTTCCACTCTAGTGCCCTTCAGAGTGGTTAACTCATTTAGGCCAAGTGCTAGAACAGTATTCCTACGGTTTGTTGTAAGGACATGACCCATGAGCCTAACTAGGGTCATGTACTACTATAGTCTACAGACCGGTAAAGCGTTGTGCGCTGTTCTGTATGCTACAGTGCTACGAAGGTGCCTTTGTCCAAGCTGGCGTTTGTGTGCAAAGTTGACAAGCAATCAGTTGAAAGATCAAAAGAAGTGGCTTTCAATAAATGTGGGGCCCGCAAAAGCCGGGACTCCCTTATGTCAACAAACATATTCGCTTTCAGCAATACTCGCTGCAACCAAAAGAGTGCTTCAAAAGTTTAAGAAGTGACACAACCATTGGGTGGAAAGGCTAGCATGCAGGATGTGGAAAGCGCGAACAAGCCGCCAGGACTCTTTGCTTGGAGTGTGTGTTGCTTCGTCATCGGTTGTATATAGCTGGGCTCTGACGCAGGGTAGTTGTCTGAAACTTCCAGTTCCCAATTACAAGCCCTCGGCTCTGTCATTAATGCCCTGCTGTGCGCTGCATTGCTGGTAGCAGGCCATGCGATCAGGGACACAGTTCACCAAACCTGGGAGCGCGATTCAATCAACGCAGTCTGGGAGTTGACGGACAACCTGCCATATTCAAAATGCAAAACGGAATTGCATGGCCTGATGGAGGACCATTTCCACAACGAAGTGAAACGGATCTTCTTCCGGAGGGGAGGTTTGAAAGGTATTGGTGTTGGTACAAATGCCAGAGAAATCCCGCGCAAGATGAAGGAGGGCCCATAAGGGAAGTTTTTGGACATGGGGATTACATATATGGGCGTATATACGTAGGGAGTACGGAAGATTGAAGACGTTCCGTACATCTTCCCTAGCACGCTTTCTCTAAAGCCTACGAAACCGATACGCAGAACTACCTCTACAACTCTGTGTTCTACAAGTACGAGCTGGAAGAGCTGGTCCACTATGCAGGCGCATCTAAAGTCTGGACTCTGAACTCGTCTTGGTTGACCTACGTGGTACCTGCTGCAAGCTTTGAAGGAAACTTCAGAAGGTGGTTCAGAAGAAGCTTACGGAATAAAATCGTGCAAACATGTTGAGAACGAACCCGTGGTCGGCGTGAACTGTGCGGAAGAATCAGGCTGCAAACTTTGACCAGGCCTTCGCAAACAAGGTGAAAAGTTGCGCGGCGCAGCGTGGATCTTGCAAACCGAGTTGGCCATGCAGCTGGTTTTGCTGATGAGTAAAAAAACCGTCTCAGACCGACTTGCTTGTCAGGCACATGCCACCTCGATCGTAACTGACTGTCTGCAAGTAAGTACGAGGGTTGAAGAACGCTTTGGGCGGGAAGGACTGACGCAGACCCAGTCAAGGACTAGATGACCAAAGTGTAGAGAAGAATAGGATGCCCAAGCCAATGGAATAGACAAACTAAAAGTGCAGTAATGGAACAATGGCAGAGGCATATTTGAACAGCAAATTAAAGAATACAAGTCTTTACAACATGTTGCTAGCAGGTCGCCCTATGACGAAGAACCCTAGAGCGGGCAGTGGCTTGTGAATCGCAGAGATCGATGAGTACGAACAAGGGGGTTAGCTTCTAGCGCATGATTTAAGCTTCGCTTAGGGGTTTCACTGTTCACCGTGAATGCTCAATCTCATGTGCCATAAGCTGTCGTCTCTGTTGCAGTGGTCGAGTTCCACAATTCTGCCTTTGCTGACCTTTTGAAGCTTCATGAGATCTAAGAAGACGGTGAGGGCGGGGAGTTGGACAGGATGAGACCAATGAAAGAGGGAAAGGATTCCCGAGAATTAGGGGATCGGTGGGGTGTAGAGCGGGGCCCCGGTTTCTTTCCGGAGAACCCTTCGCGGTGCTTTCGGGAAAAACTAAACAGCTAATTTGCAATGCTTGAAAGTTCGTCAGCGCACACTTCATGAACGAATCAGGCATGTTATCATTCATGTTTATCAGATTATCATGTATGTCATGATATCATAAACATTATCATGTTATCATAAACATCATTGATTTTGGACATTTTGTGCATGCTTGTTCCAAATTGCACGAAAATCATGTGTGCAGTGAGCACCTTGCTTGCGTGGTATGTTTTCGAGCTTTTGGTTGAGTATATTTATGTTTTCGGTAGGCTGCAAGGATCGTAATTGAAGGTTGAAGAAAACAAGCGGCTTTCGACAATTGAGGGATTCTGCATTGTGGGTGCCCCGCGGCCACCACTAATTGTCATCGCTTTTCTGGAAGAGCTAATCGACATTGCGCCACTTGCCCCACTTGCCCCACTTGCCTCACTTGCCCCACTTGGTTTTGCCCCACTTGCCTACCCCCTTGCCCCTGCAGATCACCCCCACCCCCCTTTCCTCCAAGTGGTGCACGTGAAACGCGCGAGGCACGTGAGGCAAGTGCAAGTTTGCCTCGAACCGGGCTGTCTTTGAGGCTTGTCGCTGGAGCCAGAGCCGCACCCTGATTTGTTGATCCTGCTTTCTTTTTGCTGCCCCCACGCCCCGCCTCCTCTTCCTTCTCCCAAGACTTATGGGTTTGGGCGAGCACTGCCAGTTTGCCGGACCAGAAGCCCCGAGACAGACTTGTGGTTGCCCCGCTTGCACCACTTGCCCGCTAGCCCTGCTGGCCACCTTCGCACATTTCCCACAAGCTCCAGGGTGCGGGCTGGCGGGGGCGGGGCAGATCTAGTGGGGCAAGTGGGGCAAGTGGCCGCTTGTAACGGTTCACACAGGGGCAAGTGGGGCAATATCGTTTTCAGCAAGTGGGGCAAGCGGGGCAGGTGGCAGAAAACAGCTAGCAGTGCAGGTTAGAACGCCCGCTGGGATATTGAGTACATGATCCGTCCCCGATATGCACATACACTTATTCGGTTGGTGTGCGGACAAGAGTTTTTGCGATCTGAAATTCACTTTGGAGTTTCGCTAGGCTAATACAGGCGGGATGGCATTGAGGTCTTGCTGGTGATGCCGAGGCATTGCTACATGTCTGCTGTGTTAGAACGAGCTATATATCTCATTGGCATGGATGTTCCAGCTTGTGCAATAGAATCCATGATGTATAGCTATGTGCCACAACAACATTCATGACACCTCAACACCAGAGCTTCCCAGGACATGTACAAGTACATTCAGTGGTCATTGTCGTTCAGAGCCCACGAGTCTGCAACACTCGCGCTGCGCATGACAAGTTGACCTTGTTGCTTTGATGAAAGCATGGCCGCTGCCAAGAAAAACAGCGAGAAGGCCAGCGGGCCGAACGCCACTCGTTGCACTACTTGTAGTGCGTCTGCTGAATGCCGCGCTTGCCAGAATCTGTTGGACCGCATTCGCGCCTTCCAGCGGAGTGACAAAACCAACAAAAGATGCGCTGACTGCACAGAGGTCATGCCTGCTCGTTTGCCATGTGCATGTTTGATGTTTGTGTTCTCGCGAATTGCAAACAATCGGGGACGACCCAAACTGGGCACAACGAGGACTTGGACTATGCAATCATACAGAAAGTTGGGAAATCACAACAGGTCAGGTGTTATTCTAGCATCGGTCCGTTGCAGCCTTGCGCCGTTGCAAGGTCGGGCCAACTTACGTATGTCTTTCCTTCGGCACCTTCGTTTGCACCACTTGTGGCGGGCTTCATCGCGAGTTTAGCCACAAGGTGAAGGCATCGAGCATGGCATGAATGTCGATCGTTTATGTCTTTATGTCAGTGTCAGAACGTCCCCATGTCATCCCATGTCAAAACACCTATGCACGTTTGTCAGGGCATCTCCGTGTCCAAATGGACGTTGGAAGAAGTGGAGGACATTGAACGTTGGGCCCCGGAATTCTGTTTTATGAAGCTGCGCGGTTGACTGCGCGAAAAGTTGTTGCTGGCATTTGTTGAGGTGGAGGAAATGCCAAAGCTGCGGATAAGTTCCTCGCTTGCTGGGACCCACGCGACTTCCCAGAGCCGGACAGCAGCGATCAAAGCAAGGCCAGTCTTGTGCAGATAGGCTGGATGTGCTCAATTCGTTGCCGTTCGCATGGCCAGTGCCGGGACTTCATCAAGATGAAGTACATAGAGAAGCGGTGGGCCGGAATCCAAGTTCATTGGTAGCATCTTGCTCTGTCCGACTCTGTCCCAGTCACCCTGTCCAGTCCCAGGTCTCCAGAAACGGAGATCGTTCTGACAGAGATCGCTTCGAGCCAGCTCGGGACCGGGACAGTGCTCGAAGAACGGACGCAGGACTGGTGCAAAACATGTATCTGCATCATTCTGCATCATGATCAACATGTTTAGCAGCATGTTTTGCATCGCCCATGCACTTACATGCATCTCGAGGGTGCGTGAGTCGAGATAGCACTTGGCAGGTCGCAGAGATGACGACTTCCCCCACGATCGTAGTGCAAGGGACAGGGAGGCAGATGGCAGAGACAGAGGAGACAGAGGTGGGGGTGGCGAGCACCTTCATTCAGAATCACGAGCTGATCGCGAACGCAATCGCGAACATGGTCGAAGATCCCAGGACAACTACGATTCACGAGACACGGACTATGATCCTCGAGATCGAGGACATGGATCAGGTAGAGATCGTGACCGAGATTGGGAACCAAACCATAAGGATTTTGACAGGGACCGGCAGAGGAACAAGGAGTTCGACCGTCATGATGGTTACAAGGATCGCGACAGAGATCGTGATTGGGATCGAGAAAGGGACCGAGATAGGGACGCAGGCAGAGACCGTGACAGAGATCGTGAGAGGGAACGTGACAGGGAACGTGACAGGGACCGTGACAGGGACCGTGATAGGTACAAAGAGGATGGCCGGTACAAGGACTGGAGCGACGATCGTGCTAATGTACGGGATGACCGGAATTTCGACCGCCGGGACCGCTACGACCGGGACGACCGGCGCGATCGACACGATCGACACGATGATCGCCATGATGACCGGTACGATGATCGCCGCGATCGTGACCGACGGTCAGATAGGTCAGACGACAGAGATATGAGAGATGGAGACAGGGGGGACCGCAGAGGAAGTCGTGATCGGCATGACGATAGCACTGATGACCGTCGTCAAAATTCTGGGCGCGAACCCCCTCGGAGGCTGTGGACTGCTCTCAAGTGTGCTTTCGTGTAGCCACGGCAAGTAGAATTTTGTCGAGATTTCTTAAGGGTTGAGTCGGTTGAGTCGCCAGAATCGCAACATGGACTGCGCTTTCTTTTCTGCAGGACCGAGAACGATTTCTTTCCAGATGGACTGCAGGCACCCTCCAGCGCTCAACACGGCGGAGCGGGCAAGTGGGATGCCATTCAAGTGTGCAACCAGTGCAAACAGTAGTCGACGGCAAAGGGTTGTGTTTGTCTCATGGTTCAGAAGTATTGCTGATGGAACTTCAGATGTGCGAGCAGGACCGGCAGAACAAGCAGGCGCAGACTGGAGCGATTTTTCAGGCACGTGGTTTGATGGTTGCACTTGGTGACAAATGTATTGGATGAGCGTGATGTTAGTATATGTGACGGTGCGTGAGGTGCAGGAAATGGCAGTGGTGCGAATGGTGCACAAGCTCCAGCAGCTGCACCAGCTCCACCAGCTTCTGGCGGCTTGTTCCGAAAGGGGTTCAGAAGCACTGGAGAGTGCCATGAACATTGTAACATCGATGGACACACTTGATGAAAGGTGAAACGTGCTTGGAACGGCATTCTGCAGCCATGTTAAGCCACAGCAGCTGCTCCAAACACCTTGCAGCTAACAGCTTGGACAATGTAACCAAATGCTCGGTTGAAATGAAACCGAGACAATGCTGGGATTGCAAAGCGCTCATTGATGTAGGCTTGCTGGACCTCGACCTGGACTTCACGCAGGCGACGACAAGTGCTGCTGCCTCAGCAAAGCATGCCTTAGGGTCTTAGAACCTTAGCTCATGTTCGCTCATGTCCATCTCTCATTGCGTGATTTTCTGCTTTGCGTGATATTCGTCGGGGTTGTTGACTTGCGAGGCTCCTCCAGCTCCACAGGCCCAAACCTCTTTTGCGAAGCCCGTTGTGCTGGCACATAGCTTTCGCATAGTTTCACGTGGTGTCCTGACGGCTTTGTGTTGCTTTGATTGTCAGTGTAGGATGCCTGCAAGCAGCGTAAGTAAAACAAGTAAACATGCCATGGAACATGCCAAGGGACTTGCCGGGGAATGTCGTTCTCAGGCTGCTGCTCCTTGTAGCCAACCGACGCCGGAAGTGCCTGCGCAGGGGGCTGAAATACCTGGTCATAGGGATCATCGTCTCAACTGCTTTCTTTTGACGCGGCGTTTTCGTCCAGATGTTTTGCTGGGGTTTTTTGAGAGGTTGCCATGACATTTTATGTTCAGAGAAGTCTTTCTCAGACAAGAAAGTGCAAACCTGCAGGGCAAGTGCCAAGGCACGTAGGCATTATGCAGGCATTCGGTGTACCTGGCTTTGTGTTTGCGCGATGGGGTGGCCACAATTCTCCTTGAAAGTCAGGGTGGCAAGCACCGCGCGCTATTCTGCTTTTGATGATCTTTGTGATCCTCCTGGCCCTGCCCCGGTCCAGGACAGCTGGCATTGTACCTTGAGACTGTGAGACTGAGTATGAGGCAGTATGAATACATGTTGCAGGGTGGCCACGCCATGCCAGCGACGCGCCCCAAGTTACCTCTAGGCCCTGGCAGTGCCTTGTGTTGCCGCTCGTTTGAGTGCATAGTCGGTGCCAAGGCCCATGCCTTCGATGATGGGCTTGCAGTGGAGCCTGCGCAGCTTGATGAGTTGGCATTGGCAGGCGTGTTAGGGTTGTGCAACGCGGGTGCTTGTTCTCACAGCCAGGCCTGGTGCCACTGGCCCACCAATGCAAATGCCGCAGATGCCCATGCTGACTCCACAGCAAATGCAGCAGATGAGCACTGAACAGCCGGATGTCCCAGGCGTTCGTGTGACGCAATCTGCGAGAAATAAAAGCCATAGCATCGAGTGGTCTGCCAACCTGTTCTTATGCTTAATGCTGATACACGACTCAGCTACGGTATGTAGGTCGAGGGTTGGGACCATGCAATGATTCGAAAGCTTATCTTGCAGCCAAGTGACTCTCGGCCCCACTGGGCTTTCGAGAACACTGTTGCGAGCAACAACGAGCAAAACTAGTCCACGCTCGCAACCAGCTAATTAAGCTCTTCTGTGGCGAATCATGTGTCATTTATGGGCTCCTGAAGGGGGATCCGGGATATGGTTTCCCACATCGTCATGTAGGCTTTGCTTCTGGCTGGTTTCTTGCTGGAGTCGGACAAGTCAAACAGTGGCATGATGCTGAAAAGTCAGAAGTCTCTTTAAACTCTTGGGGGTGACGGTCAGCCTTCGAGGTTAATGCAGTGGCAGATGACGATGCAGAGTCAGATGCAGATGCCAGCGGCCAAGGGCTTTGTGTGCAAATTCTGGGTCCATGCTTGCAAGATCAGTGATGGCCTTCATGGGGTTCACTCGTTGCAGAAGCTCGCACAGCAATGCTGTGGGAACCGACAGCTGGAGATGGAGCACGTGAATGTCCTGAGAGGATGATGCAGATCATGCAGAGCAAGCAGAGCAATCCGGGCCATGCGGCTCATGCACCGATGCCCGGGCCTTGCCAAGCACGGGCCTTGGAATGTCACTCTGTCAGTCCCGGCCTCGCAGTTCACAACATTTTTACGTAACTTTGGGTTGTTTGCCCTTTGCTGAGATCAGGCCGTCAATTATGGTCAATTGGTGTCACTGATTTTGACTTGCCAGGTTGCGGGCCCACCAGCTGCACAGTTCAATGTCGCCCACTGATCTTCTGCGCAGTGTGATTTGTGCGCTTTCCACTGCGCGGCAGCGGAAGATCGTGTGCCGAGGCTGCTAGCTGCGGCGGAGGACATTGTGCAACATTGATAGTAGGTGTTGAATGCTCAGTTGCTGCCATGAGTTATGTTAACAAGTTCGTGGAGAAGCACGTTCAGAAGTACGTTAAGAAGTGTGCCGCAAGTAGCCCTAAGTATGCATTGATGGGCCGATCAGCTGACTCTAGCATTGGCGAGATCTGAGGGAGTCTGGGAGGACGGTCGGTTCAGGCAGGCTTACAATGTTACAACCGCCTTTAACCAAGTGTAACCCCCTTGAGGTGCCTCAACCCCCCCTCCACCCCAAAAGTGATGTTGAAAACGTGGTGCTAGGCGACATTGAAAGTATGGTGCTGAAGCCCTTGAGGGCCCGAGACCAAGGGAACGCAATCTCGTCTTGGTGCAGGAGGCCATGCCAATCCAGTTCCCGCACAGGTCGGATGCAAGCACATGCAAGCACATGCAAGCCCTAGCACGAATTTCCTCCTTGCAGAAAGCATTCGGAACGTTGGAGTTCTTGTAAATGGACTCCCGACTTGTCACGAGGCCAATGCCTCTCCAGCTGCCGAATCTGGAAATCCCTTCGACCTTTTCTGAGCCGGAGCGAGATTTACGGTGGCCCATGAACAGATGCACAGCGCATGTGCAGTGCGCTTTCCCTACTGTCTCACTTGCTGGCCCTAGACACGGCCTTTCATGGGGGTTCAAGTTCAAGCTCGTGAGAGCCAGTCTCGAAACGGACAATGACTTTGACACAGACTGGCCAGACATCAGCAACTTGAGCAAAACCAAACGCGTGCCGGATACAAGATGCACCTGGACTCAGCGAAAAGTCTTCAACCGTGATGTGTTGAGCGATTTTTTTTCACAAGTTGCTCGCAACTCTTTGGGCTCCACCAAGCTTCGTGTCACCTGATTCTGTTATGCGTGCTGTACTTAGTCATGAAATCGGTTCATCAATTTTGCAGGCTTGTCTCCCGGTGTGCTTCGACCTAGTTGCCAGCTAGTTCGTGGCTGTTTCACTGCTGCGCTCACATCTCTCGCTTGCCGCTGGGTTGCCATAGCTGCCATAGCTGTATCCTGCTACAGCACGCTGCAGCTAGGACCATGAAGGGAGCATCGGGCATCATCTTGCAATCCAAAGTGTGCCGCACAGGTCAGAAATGCAGGGTATGCCGGGCATGCAGGCCTTCTGCTCGGGGTTTGGTCGTCGTTCTCTAGGACGCTCTCGAGTTTGTGGCCGGGACGTTTCTTTGTTTCTTGGTTCCTGCATGCCTGCATTGTTATGGAGGTGCGCTTGCTTTCCGAAACCATTATAGGGACGTTCAGCATCAGAAGTTGTGCTGCCATTGAGCAAAAGCCGTACTTAAAGGCGATCCTGCATCCCAAGTTGCCAAACCCTGTCAATCTCTTGCAGGCCAACTGCCCGGCTTGCGGCAACGTGTACGCGGACGACGCGGTTTTCTGCCGAAAGTGCGGCCGGAAGCGTGACGAGGTGCGGATGGTGCGGACGAATCTGTGGAGGTGTTGATAGTGGGTTTCGCTGTGTAGCGGCTGCGGCATTCTAAGACAGTTTGAACACCGATCCGCTGTCTGGCGCAATCCGATGTCATCACTTGTATCTCCCTGACTCTTGGGCTTCGGGTTCGGAAGTCTTTCGGATCAAGGGTTTGGGCGTCCAGGATCTGGGCTTTCATTTCGCAGCTCCATGGTGTAGGGATATTTGGGTTTAGAGCTCTACAAGAAGCGTTTTGTCAATGTGGGCAGGGGGGTTTTCTACTACACAGACCTGTTGGCAAGAAGTGTTTCTTGTTTCCTTGACATCTCCTAATACATCGGACTGTTTTTGCTGATACATCTTCATCAACCGTCTCCGAATCCAAAGAGTCTCCGCTAGCATCCCGGACCTTCCTTCGGAGCCTCTATGGGGGGGAGGGGGGGCAGCTCTCAGGGTCCTAAGAGAGCCCACAAGCCCTGAGCCCAAAGCGTACGTAAAACCTCGAAGCCCTCAAAACCCCGAAAACCCGACCTGCCGAAACCCTAAGCCCGAAAACGCCAAGCCCGAAACCAGCAGCCAGAAACCCCAACCCCTGCAGCCACACAAACAAGGGGGAGGGGGGGGCGGCGGGCGGAGTACCTAGATCATGACCCTACAACCGTAAAGCCTAACACCCTAAAACCTAAGCCCAAGGCCATGAGCTCTAAAAGCTCAGCCCTCCTACAGCGCTCCACAGCCACACCACCACGGGTAGTTTAGTGCTACAGTAGGAGCAGTATCTGTAAGCGATAGATCTGATGGATGAGCCGCTATCATGGCTGCAGACAACTTCTGACGATTGATCTAATCTCAACAATCTCAATGTCCCATAATTTGGAGTCAACTTGAAGGCTCCCGCGTCTGCACCGGGGCCTTCCGCGCCTTGTGCTGCAAGAGGCTTCAGGTTAGAGTGTTGTACCAGGTAGGGCATGTAAGATCGCTGCATGCGCAAGCATCTCCCACGGTGCAGGTCATTAGGAGATGCTGTGTACGTGCTGTGCAGCAACATGCGGAGGCTCTTTTTGATCAGCTCGACCGAAACGGGGACGGCAGGATTTCGCAGGAGGAGTTCCTCCGCATGCAGGCCTTCTCTCGTGCATGGGGTTTGCATGAGGGTTTTTGTTTAGGTGCGGTGGGGTGGGGAGGGGTGGGGTGGGGTGCGCGGTGCGGTTGGGTGCGGTGCGATGGGGTGGGGTGGGGCGGGGTGGGGTACCATGGAGAGGTTGGGGGAAGGGTACTGACATGCAACACGGCTTCACTTTTTTCAGCACAATGCACTGCGGCAAGGCCAACCCAACGCTCACGTATCAGTCTGCGCCCGTGTACACACAGCCCCCTTGCTACATCAGTTCTCATTCTTCGCACTGCAGTGTGAATGTATTCATGCAGGTCAAACAAAACAAGCTGTGAGGCTGCAGGAAGTCGCAAGATACGAGCTTTCCACATCAAGCACCACCAAACCTAAGGCAGAGCGCTGTGCCGAGCATGCAGGGAATGCCGGTGATGCAGGCCTTGTGGTTTGGGTTTTGGAGCAAAGCTTTGTTCTCCAGGTTTTCTACTTGATCTGCGCAAGGGCTGCTTGCATCTTGCTGCAAGGCCGGCCCACCGGTCACATATCAATCTGCGCCCATAAGCATGCAGCCGCTGCTGCCTTTGATACGGCAGTTCTCATGCTGCTTCAAGAGTCAAGTCCACATGAGGTGCTGAGAATCCTAAGGCAGAGCGCTGTGCCGAGCATGCAGGGAATGCCGGTGATGCAGGCCTTGTGTTTGGGTTTTGGAGCAAAGCTTTGTTCTCCAGGTTTTCTACTTGATCTGCGCAAGGGCTGCTTGCATCTTGCTGCAAGGCCGGCCCACCGGTCACATATCAATCTGCGCCCATAAGCATGCAGCCGCTGCTGCCTTTGATACGGCAGTTCTCATGCTGCTTCAAGAGTCAAGTCCACATGAGGTGCTGAGAATCCTAAGGCAGAGCGCTGTGCCGAGCATGCAGGGTATGCCGGTGATGCAGGCCTTGTGTTTGGGTTTTGGAGCAAAGCTTTGTTCTCCAGGTTTTCTACTTGATCTGCGCAAGGGCTGCTTGCATCTTGCTGCAAGGCCGGCCCACCGGTGATATATCAATCTTCGCCCGTACCCACGCAGCCGCTGCCTTTCTACTACATCACTGCATACTTGGATGTCAATCGGAAGTAACCGGAAAATAGCTTTGAGGCATTGTGAAGATCGAGGGAGCTTCAAGAGTCAATTGCACATGAGAATCCTCAGGCAAACCGCCGTGCCGGGCATGCAGGCCTTTTGCCTGAGGGTGGGTAGGTGTTCTCCAGGATTGTTCTGTGTTGCACGTTGCACAGTGCGTCTTGCCTGCAATCTGGCTCCGCGTCAGCCCGCTCAGCCCGCCAGGTTGATCCGGCGATCGCGTATCAGTCTGAGCCCATCGGCACGCAGCTGCTGCCTTGGCAACAGCATTTCTCATGCATTCAGCAGCGTGACGAGCAACTGCATGTAAGGCACAGCCAGAAATCACGAAAGCTGGAGGATAGGGGTCAAACAAAAAGGGTTAAAAAGAGGGATCAATAAGAAAATGCACCCCCAACCATAAACCCGAAACCCGAAACCATAAGCCCGAAACCCTAAACCCTAAACCTTACGCTAAACCCTAAACCTTGAACACTCGTTAGATTTTAAACTCAACTCTTCTCCTCGCTCGGAACTCTTCTCCTCGCCCGGTCTACTCCTCGCTCATCCCTGGAGTGCCCAACCCCAGAGTGTCCCCGGAGCGCCCAACCCCAGCGTGTCCCCGGAGTGCTCAGCCCCAGAGTCTCCCTGGAGTGCCCAACCCCGGCGTCTCCCTGGAGTGCCCCAGAGTATCTCTACTAAGAGAGGGTGGGGATGTTCGAAGTAACATAATGTTCTTTGTTATGTATTGTTTTTGTTTGCTCCGGCAGCCGGGCGAAAGCTTGCGCCTTGGAGCTTTGCCGGAACTCCGAGTCCCGAGTCCCCTCCCCACCCTCGAATGAGCGCTGGATACATATGTCACGTCTCTTATCTCAGACTTATCTCTCATACTTCAGAGACTTGGGTTGACATCTCGCCGCCCGAAGGCTGCCCACGTCAAAACAAGCGCTCCGCTACGTGTGCCTTAGTGCCGTTTCGGCAGTGTCAGCCAAATGAGGATGTCGACGCATTCGACGCAAAAACTCTCATCCGAAGCAAGAATCCAACACCGAAGTTAATTCCGTGCCGTGCTACATAAGAACATTTCTCGCACGTAAATGCAAAGACTCAATGATGGTGGGCATCAAGATCCAGTGAAGAATGGAACGGCTCCGTCGGGTCCGAGAGAAGTGCAGCATTGAAAATGTAATGTATGCGGCAGCGAATTCACAGGCGTATCGAGTCGTCTAGTTTTGCCTCGAGCGGGCTTCAGGAGTTGCCTGTCCACGTCAAGCACAGTGAGTCCTAAGGCAAAGTGACGTGCCGGACATGCAGGGCATGCAGGCCTTCTGCGTATTTGTTGAAAGTTCCCGACGGCTCTGTTTTCCGCGGGCGCCAGAAGGTCGATCCAACTCTCACAACTCAATCTGCGCCAACAAATACGCAGCCGCTGCCTTTGCCACATCAGTTCTCAGGCAAGACAAGCTGCCGTGATGGCTCGACGAAGCCGAGAGTCTCGAGAGTTGCACTATCCCCCTCGAGTGCTGCGAATGCCAAGGTTGGACATCAGCACATTGGAGCCTGTGCTTACGCGCACAGGGTTGCGGCCCTCAGCTTCGAATGCGAAGTCCAGCCCTGTACTTTCCCAGGATTCAAGCGTGCAAGTCAACAGTTACGTAAGTCCTTTCTGGGATATGTCTGGCCGGTGGAAGCTGTTGCTGATGAATCAGCATGCACGCCTGAGTCTGAGCAGGACAATGACCTACTGTAAGAGACAGCTGCCCTCCAAGGGATCCGATTCGCAGCCAGATGGGGCACACGATCCAGGGTCAAGTTCACACGCCGAGCTGACTTTGAAATTGGCCCCAATCAGAAAAAGCCTGGTGGTCAACTGATGGTACTGATTGTGCCAGGCAGAAAATCGAGGTACCAAGTGAACGCGGCCCTTACACGAATGTCCAGACGGCTTGAGCCTTGGTTTGCCGGAGAACTCATACGAAGTTGTGACGATAGCCTGATAGCTGTCTGACTGCAGATTCACCCGAGAACCATGACGACGAAGCAGGCCTGCACAATCTCGCATGCCCAAATTGTAGAGGCTGTGCCGCTGTGCTGGATTGCGCTGTGAAGATGCGGAGGAAGCAGAGGCTGTCTATGTCACGGGGCCGACCACGGAGCTGGAAATAGCTCCGCAAGAGGTTCGCGTGGTGGAGGATGGGCTCTACATTACATGGATCTACATGGCTCTACGACTCTACGATCTTCTTGGACCAAGCCTCGTGCTTGTGCTCATGGTTTCGGCATGCTTCGGCCACGTGAGGAGAATCTCGTTCCCGGAGAACTGACGCAGCACATCGTGGAGGCGCGTCCCCCTGGTTGCAGATCTGTAGCTTCTCAGTCTGTATCCAAGCAGCAATCCAGGTGCCTACCATTCAGGAGGTCATCACAGAGCAGGCAGCAGCAGATGCAAGTTTGTATCGGTGGAGATCTTTTTGGGATGTGTGCGGGACATAGGTTCAATACAGTTCAAGTTCAGCAGCGTTCAGCTCGTGTGCATTTCTTGAACAATCACTAAGCTTTCATAGGCCACTAAGGCCTAGTCACTGCGAATCGACTGTCAAAGACTGCGGGAGGAGATTCCGGAGGTTCAGATCGTCAAGCGGTTCAAGCAGGTTGGAGAGGACCTGCCTCATCTCTGCTTCCGAAGACGTGTACGTCACTTGTACACGGCCCAATGTGCTTGCCATGATTACCTTGTATAGACTCATTCGTCCCCGCGTACTGTGACTTCTGTGCGTACTGTGATGTCTGTGGGCAGCACATCTGAACAGAAAAGAGGCGATCATGATTGTCTCATAAGCAAACTCTACCGAACGTCCTTGTTGGGCGCCTTGACAGTAGGGGTGAGTGCGAGTGGTTAAAGCTGTGATGTAGACGCAATCTGCAGTGGCTTGTGAAGGACGGGCAGCTTGTTGACTTGCCAGGCTCGTCTCTTGGGGCCTATCTGTTGCCTTGCCTGGCTTCTTTGCCTCGGGCTTTCCTGGCGGTTCAGATGGGTTCAGACGAGGTACTGCGTTGCACGATGCAAGCCTACGCACCAACTGCAAAATTGTGAGATGCAGCTCGCGAACATTTTCTGACTTGTGCAGGTCCTCCTGCTCAACCGACTCAACCAGTCCCAGCGCCGCAACCAATGCCGGCTCCATTCGGAGCTCCGCCACAGTTTGCGCCCCAACCACAGCTGGCTCCCCAGCCCCAGCTTCCGCCGCAGCTGGCGCCACAGCCCCAGCTGGCGCCTCAGCCACAGATGGCGCCTCAGCCACAGATGGCGCCGCAGCTGGCGCCCCAACCGCAGTTTGCGCCCCAGCCACAGCTGGCGCCACAGCCTGCCTTGCTCGATCAGGCCCGCTCGACAAAGACAGAAAGGGGCTCAGTCCACGAAGTCAACATTAACATTTTTGTATACATTACGTTTGATGCCTGGACCAGAATTCTCTTCCAGCTAGGGGTCAAGTCTTCTTGTCACTGTCTGCATCGGGAGGAAACGTTTATGCTTTGGTTGTTGGCTTTTGATAATCACGTTGCCCTTGGACGCCAGATTCGCACGAAGCTTGTATAATCGATGGTGACAGAATTCCATTCTGTTCACATGCGCATTGGGCCAAGAACGACCGCCGCTTACAAACGCTTTGCATGCACAAGCGCGTGTAGCTTGGTCCACTCCTTGACGCCGGGCTGGAGCTCGACGCCCTCCAATCACTTTCCTCGCTTTAAGAAGTATGGCTGCGCACGCTTGACGTGTTCCATCATGGTCCTACACAAATCCTGCGAATCTAGACACTCCATGCCTTTGTGAGGCCCCTGTGTTGACGCAGACGACGCCAGTTGTGGCGCCAATTACAAGGCCAGCGATCCAGGCTCCACCAATCTTCGTGAGGGTAGCGGATCCGGCCATGCTCTCAGCAATGCCACGCCTCGCCTCAACGAGGCTTGTAGACTATTGAGTTGACACGGGAATTGGAAGCTAACTGACGTCAAACTGACGTCATCGTCAAGGCGCCAACACAACAGAAACGAGAGCCAAGACGTGAAACCATGCAGCCAGAGTCTCGAAGATCCAGACACCAATTAGATTTGCTGCAAAGGTCTTCCTGGACCCCGTTCCCTACAGGGAGGGTCCCAAACCGGGTCAGCGAGTCGTGGAGAAGCCCGTCATCATCCCCAAGGTTGGCTATTGCCTTTATTGCAGCTATTCGAATTATTCGATATGGCTGGCGTGTTTGGTGCCGTTGGACTGAACGCGGAGCTTGCCCCCAGGAGAGGACCGTGCACCAGCCGGTGGAAGAGGCTTTGTGACATTTTGTGACAATGGCAGTTCGGTGCGGCACATCATCCCCACGCGCAGGTGGTGGAGGTGCCGGTTCCAGTTGTTCAGGAGGAGATTGTGCAGGCAAGGTCTCCGGTTGCGCATATTAAGCACCATCGTCACGTCTTCACGTCTTCAAAAAGCTTGGTCATGTCTGAGGGTCGGATGCACTGCGTTCTAGGTGCCGAAGATCATCACAAAGACACGACAAAAGCAGGCACTCTTTCCGGCCCTTTCGTGGCTGTGGAGGGTTGTGTATGTTTATGCCCTATGCAGTGGGGCATTCCTTAAAAGCAATGCCAGGTAGCTGTGGAGCAGATTGTGGACATCCCGGTCCAGCAAGATCAGGTGGAGATCGTGCAGGTCCCAAAGATTGTCGAGCAGAGGCTGGGGGCCCAGTGCGACAACACGACATGGAGAGTTCTGATGTATGTTAGAAGCTGCTTGTACCCATCTTGTCCAGGCAAAGAACTGTCATGCATCACGTGGAAGAGGTCTTGGTGTCAGTGTGGCGGCAAACAGAGTGAAACAGAGTGCATGGTGCGTGTTTTGTAAACTTGTGAACTCCTGCAGGTGGTGGAAGTTCCTGTGCCGATGACCCAGGAGGAGGTGGTCCATGTGCCAGTCGTGAAGACCGCGACTCGCCAGCGCCAGGCACCGGATTCTTCATTTGTGGTACACACCAAGGAAAACATATTTGTGAACCACAGTCACGCGGTGTGAGATGTTCGCGCAGGTGCATGTTGAGGAGATAGTGGATGTCAAAGCCTGAGACGCCTTGCAGATTCCTCTCGGAGTTTCCACGCGTGGTTGTGGTTGGCTCATGTTAAGGTCCCTGTGGTGCAGGAGCAGGTAGAGCCAGTGCCTTACATGTCCGGCTGCATTTTTCATTTGCTACATGACAATTCTCACTCAGGCTTTTATTTTGTGAAAATTGCCTGGTTCAGGCATCTTCAGGCTTGTGGCTGTGTAGCGCACAAAGATGCGACAACATGCGAAAAACATAGACTGAGATGACTGATTTTTGCATACATCTACGCACTACTCAGGTATGCCTCTGCATGTTTGTCTGAAAGAAGTTCAGATTCCGGCAGTTGGGTTTCTTCTCTGCATGTAGCTCAGGACTGTGCACGTTCCCAAGGCGCTGCTGTTGCATCATGGTTCCGTACTGCGGTTCAGCACACTGACCAGGGAGCTTATTCGCCTTAGTTTTTGGAGAGAGTTGCTTAGAGACCCCCTTCAGGGCTCTCTGTCGTCACAATTTTGACGTTCCGGAGGTCGTGCAGCAGCGTCGCGTCTTTCAGAAACATGTCGAGGAGGTCTGCGCTGCACGTGACACGATCTTGCTTCGTATCTCGGGCAAAGAGTGGCAAAGTGTGGCAAAACGTGGCAAAGCGTATTCTTCAGAGTGACGGCATCCCAGAAACTGTTTTAGATGCGACGTCCTGATGCTTTGTCTCTGACTCTCTGTGCTGCAGATTTGGTAGTTGGCACATGTTGGATCGAGTTGGTACTTGGGTACAGGATGGTAAACTCCTGTTGGGGTCAGCCAAGCAACTTTTCAATCTCATCTCGATATGTTCAGGTGGTGGAGGTGCCGGTTCCCATCAATCAGGAGCCCATGTCAACGCAGCAAGTGATGCTTGCAATGGCTTACAGTCTTACAGAATCTCTCGGCCAGACTGGAAGGCTAAGCGGCTATGCGCACGAAGGGGGTGTCCAGTGTGTGCATAAATGCTTCAATCATGTTCACCAAATACGGCACATGTGTGACTCCTTGTTTCCGTACAGGAGGAGGTCGTGCACGTCCCGAAAGTAATGGAGCAGGAACGGGTAACAAACTTCCACGTCGAAGAGTGGGTGGACATCCCAATCGAGTCTCGCGCTCTTCGGTTTCATTTGGAGCCAATCTCGCATGCAACTCTTCTCGTGCAATTGCTCTGTGCCTTTGTTTCGGGTTGCCGGCCGAGGTGGAGAAGATCGTCCACGTTCCTGTCATCCGCGAAGAGCAGAGAATTGTTCAGAATCCTGTGGAGGTTGTGGTGGAGGTTCCGCAGCCTCAAGTCGTGGTCAAGGTGGTGGAGGTTCCAAAGATCACAGTGGAGGAGAAGATCATCAAGGTACCAAAAATCACGCACACCGTGGTTGACACGGCAACTTGGCTACACTGCGCTCGACTAGATCTTCAGGACGGTCTCGGGCAGAAGTCTAAAGTGGATGCAAAGTGGATGCAAAGTGGATGCACCCGAGGTGATTCAGAACCAGCTCCAGGTAGTGGAGGTGGAGAAGCCGACGGTCGTGCACAAGACCGTGCAGAGGAAGAAACCCATCATTCAGGAGGAGATTGTCGTCATCCCAAAGGTCATTGGCTTGCGCTTCTTGATGCTTCTTGCTTTCCCCTTCATGTCTGGGCGGTTTTGGGTGTGTCTTGTTTTGCACAGACTGCCAAAAAAGCGCCGAAAGTCGCTGCCTAAGTCGGATTCGAAACACGAAGGTCAGTGACATGGTTGTGACATGGCTGCCCTTTCATGCCTTTCCTGCCCCAGGCCGCGCCTAAGCCTAAGAGTCGTCAAGCGGTGCAACCGGTGGAGCCCGAAGCCGCGTTGCCGTCAGAGCAAACCGCAGAGCCTCTGGCAGAGCCCGCGCAGACCATGGCACCTGAGGCATTTGGGGTTGCAAATCGTTGCCACATGCTGTTACATGCTGTTGCACTGCGCTTCCCGAATCTTGGACATGTAGTGTTGGCTTGTGTTGCGCTGAGAATTGTGTCATGCTTCTGTGTTCGACTCTTCTCCATCGCTGGGTCTGTCTCTTGAAGCATGCTCTTGAGCCGAGTTCCATGCCAATGTGCCAAATCCAACTTGACAAGCTGTTGTACTATTCGGAAAAAGAGAAGTGCAGTGCCCACAGGAGCCAGCATCCGAGCCCATGGAGATGGAACCCTACGAGCTGGAGGCCGGTGTCTGGAGCTTCCCAATTCGTGTAAGGCTTGGCCTTCGGCTTTTGATACCGCGCGCTACGGGAGGCGGTTAGAGAGCTCTGTCAGTTATTGTAGTCCTTGTGCGAGTGCTGACTAAAGCATGCAATGCAGATGAAGTCGCAGGGATGAGAGGATGTCTACCTTGCATGACGAACCCTCGAAGCAGCAAGCTAAATCAGAGGGCGAGAGAGGGCGAGAGAGGGCGAGCGGCCGCCAGGTGCCGCAGATCGAATGGATCGACAACATAGTGGAGGCACCAGCTTGCAATGAACGCTGAGTCACGATCCCCGAACTCTTGGGAGGGCCTCTTTGCACTCTCCCTCCTTTACTTTTGTTGTGTTTTGTCTCCTGATTTCCTTCTGTTCACTGTGGGATTCGAGCCCGAGGCATTCCAAAACCTTCAAACCCCAAAAAGGCGAAACGCAACAGCCTCGGAACGCTCTAGGCCCCAAACCAAAAAGCATAAAAAGCCCTAATTTCTGAGAGCTTCAAGGCCTTGAGCCCGCGCTCCTAGCGTTCTTAGGCTTTTCGGGCTGCAGGATTCACTGTAACGTGAACCTTTAATGAATGCCCCGAAACTCTCCAAAGTCTAGATGCCCTTGAAACTCTAAACATCAAACCGCGCACAGCAGTCCAAATCTTCAATTCGTGCAATAAGGGTTGACCCTAAAGTCCTCTCCAAAGATCTTGGCAGGTTCCCGTTCAGAAGGTGGTTGAGGCCCGGGTTGTGTCTGTAGATGCACAAGTTGTGCGTTTCGGAGCAAGCCAGTCATGTGACGAGTCACGTGTGATGTGGTCCACCCATGGAGCATGGGACGACTCCTGACGACTCCTGACGATTGCTTGACTTGTATCTTCTTTGGAGAGGTGCCTCAGCCGATGGTGGTCCAGAAGGAGGTTGAGGTGCCGATCGTGGAATACGTGGATCAGGCCGAGAAGTGGCAAAAACCCCCAAGTCGTGACATGATGGCACATAGAGCAACCTCAGGAAGTTGAGCTCCCCCAAGTAGCCCATCGCCACGTTCCCATGATCAACGTTGGACACTCAGGAGCCGTTTAAGAGCCTTTTCGAAGCGCTTCGAAGCCATGGCATGCCCCGAAGCTGAGGTCATCCAGAAGACCGTGGAGGTGCCGCAGATCGAATATGTGGACAACGTGGTGGAGGCAGGACCAGCTGCATCAAGCCATCAAGCTGCGAGCCGTGGCCCGAGTCACAAATCAGGATGGCCAGGAGTTGCCAGGAGCGTTCAGGAACTAGGCCCTAGGCAAGACATGGCAAGCGGCCACTACCAGGAAGCTTTCCACCACCTTGCCCGCCAAGTCCAGCTGTCCCCACCTGCCGGCTTATGGCGCCTACCCTGCGGGATGCCAAACTCAAGTTGACAGGCTCACTTCGAAAGCACTAGAAAATTCGTGCATTTTCAGAACCTTCCATCTCCCCACTCCAAGTTGCATGATTTTGCATGAGGGGCATGCGTGTGGGCGCATGTGCTGGCCTGCAAATTACATCGGGCACTGGCTGCTAGAACTGCGAACGCTCGGGTGTTGGTTGGGCTTGATGAAAATCTGGAATGTATGGCTTAGTGGCTTAGTGTTCCTAAGCCGCCTGCCCTTATTGTCTCTGTGCATATGATCTGCCCTGACCTCGAACTTTGAGATTGGCTCATTATGGCTCAACTTCAGATGTTGCAGCATTGCCAAGGAGCTGTCTTGCAAAGACATATCCTAAAACGACGGCAATATCGGCAATATAAGTCATGAGCAGTTGTCCCCACCCCTGGGCAAAATGATTGCAGCAGTGTGCTGTTACTTGGAGCAGTGCCAGGTGCCCGTCCAGAAGCAGGTGATGATTCCGCATATCCAAACGATCCAGAAGCAGGTGGAGGTGCCGCAGATGGAGTACGTCGACGAGGAGGTGGAGGCGAGGGAAGCCCGTGCCAGAGCAGTTCCGAACGAGTCTACAAAAGCCACAAGACTCCCTCAACATTCTCTAGACGCACTGCAATGTTTCGAAGGTGCCCGTGCAAAAGTACCGACATGTGCCCCAGGCGGGAAGCTTCGGATTGGACATTCAGTTTCAAGTCTAGATCGATCTTCAAGGTGAGCGAAGAGCAAGCGAACCCCACACTTGAAGGGTAGCGCTGGCAGGTGGCTGTCAAGCAGCACACCATCGAAGTGCCTCAGGTGGAGTTTATCGACGAGGCACGTCATGATGATTCATGATGCCTCAGGAGTCTTAAAATCACTGCATGTTCATGATGCATTGGCAATTTGTTGGAAGCTGGCAGGAAGTCGAGGTTCCAACCCAAAAGCAAGTGCATGTCCCAGTTGTCAGCACAAGCCAGCCGCCGGCCTGCAAGCAGAAGGTGCTCGTAGCATGTTGATTAGTTCAGAGTGTGGAACTGGTGTACTTAGGAGTCCATCGTAGCCTGGGTTCCGATGTAGTCAAGACAACAAGGAGAGCTGTCGAGATCCCGCAGATTGAGTACGTGGATCGACACGTCCACATTCCCATTCAGAAGGCGAGCGGCAACCTCAGCGACATGAACGCTGCAGTGCGCATGTGACGGATACATTCCTCTTTTGCTGTTCGATGACGATGATGATGACGATGATGATGACGATGATGCTGATGATGACGAAGAAGAAGATGATGATGATGCTGATGCGAGACTTGTGATTCAGGATCTGAGGTCTTAGGAGATCTTTTGTAGTGTCGCTGTCGGTTTTTCTTAAGTTATGCGCAGATGTTCCGAATTGCTCCCTGGGAAGTGATGTGCTGCCAGTATATCTCAGCACAAGTCACTGAGCACCAAGGGCATGTCGGCGTGCAGAGCCAAGTGGAGAGGGCTGTCGAGGCGTGGATCGGGTACCTGTTAGAAGGCAGCCTTTCGCAAATTCCACGCTGTGCCTGGCTGGCGGCATTGCTGCAACACATGCCTTTGCAAATTTGAGCAGGTCTCCGTGGTTGAGACTCTGGAAAAAGCCAGTGCCCAAGAGATGCCAGAAGCTAGCTTGGTCTTTCGTTTCAATCCCCTCGGGCCAGCAACAGCAAGGACGGAATTGTAATGACGTCTCGCGACTTCCTCGCTCCCTTCCCCCCCTTCGCTTCCCTCACCTTTCACCCCTCCTCCACCAGCATAAAGGGTCGATTCAAGCTCTGCCGCAAATTGAGCATGCGCGATTCAAGCACCTGCGATCACCCGCGATTCATGCGCAAGGGTGGTGCGAGCACTGGCGATTCGAGCACACATGCGGTTCGAGCACTGGGCGAAACACACCTCCATTTTGTCTCCCCTTTAAATCCGGCTTGGTGTTTGCGCCCCCCCTCTTGACTCCCTTTGGTGTCTTCTGGGCGCCCTTCTTGTTTCTTGGAGCCTCTTGGAGACCCGGATCGGTGGACGCCCGTCTTGTCTCCCCTCCTTCTTGTCTTTCGTTTGGACGCCCCTTTTGTCTTCCTTAGTCTCGCTTCCCTCTCCTCTCCTGTCTTCCTTCTTGTTTCATCTGGCGCCCCTTTCGAATCAGAGCCTGATCGGCTGACTCACCTTTTGGCGCCTCCCTCTTCTGAACCAGATCGGTGGACGTTCCCCTTTTTGTTTGCCTTTTTTGGAACCAGAGCCGAATCGGTGGACTTGCCCCCCCTTGTTCGTCTACCCTCTTGGCCATTTCTTGTCTTGCCTTTTGTCTGCCTCCTCGTCCTTTTATTGAACCAAAGCTGGATCGGTGTATGCGCCCTCCCCCCCCTCTTGTCTCTTCTGTTCTATATCGCCCAAGCTTTTGGCCCTCACCTCGAACTCTGGGCACTGGGGTTTTGGCTGGGACGAGTTAGAGTTGAGGTTTACGTTCTCCCACTTTCCCCCGTTTGTCGAGTCTGGTGTATCTCTTTTTTAGTGTTGGTTTTCGTTTTTGGGGTCTACAACACCTCCCCCCGTCGCCTCATAAGCCTCAAGGTTTCCTTCCCCCCCCCAGCTTTGTTCACTCTTCATCTCTTTTTCGGATTAATTAAGAACATTCGCACTCACCATCTCCTTGCCTGCACTCATCTTCAACAAGGTTTTCCGCCTCTTTTGTTTTAACAGCTAGGGCCAAACCAGGTACGGAAAGCTGCGAGCTATGGTCGTAGACTTGCTGTCTTTGGAGGGGCGGGTCTCGAGAGAGAGTTCCAAGAAACTTATCTGACAGTCTGACAGTATGAGTATGGCTCAGTCGCAACCTCTGGCAGGCATTTGAACTGGTTCACCGTCCCTTGCGTTCAGGGTCTTGATGGTTCATCTTTTGGTGTGTAGGGTTTGTAGGTGTCAGGGTTGAGGGTTTATGGTTTGCAGGTGTTTAGCAATCTTGTTCGGTTTAGGGCTTTTAGTGTGTCATGGTTTGGCTTCAGCGAGCTGCGCTCTTGGGGTAGCTTTGGTTGGCTCCCGCTTGCCCCTCAAGTCATATTTGATTACTCTGCACTCGCCTTCTCGTTCTGCTCTGCCTCCCGCCCCAAGTTCGCCTCCACTCACGTCGTCATCGTCACCGTCATCATCATCGTTCCTATAACAGGACCCACCAAAGGCAACAGCACCAGCCAACACCTGCAAGACAAATCCAGCTGCATGGGCCCCTTTAGCTTTCGTTTGCCTGGTCTTGCCCGGCAAGTGGCGGGAATGGCGTGTAAACGAGTCCACAGTCGTGCAAAAGAATGTTGACACATGTTGGAACATGTTTCCCAAGGTGATCGACGTGCCTGTTATCAAGCAAGTGACTGTGCCAACCACGCAGACCATCGAAAAGATTGTGGAGGCAATGGGAGAGTCAGGAGTACTGAGACGACTTTGATAGCCCCAAGCAAGCAACACTCAAGTGCCCGTCCCATCCGTGATTGGCAACCGTTCCTGTTGAGAATTGTTGAGTTTTAATTCGACTCAGTTCACTTGTTCAAGATGCTCTCAGTAGCGCAGGTGCCTTATATCCAGACCGTGGAGAAGATTATCGAGATTCCAGTGGCCGCGTGTTTGAATACTCGTTACACAGCGGCACATCTACAAAGATTTGTGTGCCCAGGGCGGCGACACACAGACCGGTGTTACCAGAGTGGCGCAGGCGCACGTTGACCATGGTATGGGCAAGTGGACATGGGTATGGGCAACTCGCAATCGGCAAAGTGTCATGAGGGTCACGATACTGAAAGTACGAGTAAGCGGGCCTTGAAGCACTCCTCGTTGGAAGCTTTATGCCGCAGGTGCAACTCGAGCCGATTCGACAGAAGCTCGATGAGAACGTGATTCAGCAGGCGCCACCCGCTCTTTGCAAACACAAAGGCCTTGTGAAGTGGGTGAAATCAGATTCAGCTTGTGAAGGATGTAGGATGTAAAGGCTGATGCCGGGCAGATGTTGGCAGAAGGCCTGTCGCTCGTAAGGTTTGGCTTGAAGCCTTGACAGGTTCTGGCCGGACCCCCTTTGCCGGCCGAAATGCTGTCAGCGCAGGACACATTGGCCTTGTACTTGAGAGTAGATAAACGGTGCATGTTTTCTCTTTACGCGCAATGAGTATGAAGTCCAACTCGGCCTCGGTGGAAGTCTGAAGTGACCGGTAGGACTGAGAGAGCCGTCAGTGGGAGCCCTGGAGATTTATGGAAGCGTTTAGCTCCCAAGCCTGAGATGGAACTTCCTGATGGAATGCGGAAGCCTTCGAAGCTTGCCTTTGAGTTTTTTGGTTTTTTTGAGTTTATTCAGGCCTGACGGGCCTGAGCCAGTGCCGCTCGAACGGCGGTCCTCGTGAGCTCTCTCTCGATCAGATCATGGGATCTCATTTCCTCAGAGATCCCAGACTTTCAGTTGTCAAACTTGTCAAACCCAGTCCCATCCTGTCCCATAGCTTCAGCTCTGGGTTCCCCATTCGAATTATCCCAGTTGACACATCACATGCTGCTGCGGCCATGGCACAACACTGTGCTTGAGTAGCTCGGTTCAACTTAGACTGCAGCAGCCCCGCACATGGTTATGTTAATGCAGAAGCGTTTGCTGTTGAAGTGGGCATAGGCTGCACCAAGTTTTGCTGGAAGGCTGTGAGGTGGGCGTTATACGCCTCTTCGTGGATGTGTCTATGGGGGCGTATTTTCCTTGACCTCTTTGGACACCTCCAAGTAAACTAATGCTTTCAGGTGGTGTAGGCCGGTCTGGTGGAGCTATGGGAGCTCAGCCGACGGCCTGCCTCACTTCGATGCAATGTGTGGAGAAATCCAATCGTTTCTTATCCGAACTTCTCGGTGCTTCGTGCCCAGCCGAGCGTTCGGCGGGACTTAGCAGCTCGATATGGGTTCTGGCCAGGAGCTGCCCTTTGTTGAGACCGAGACATCACACGGCCCAGCTGTTCAAGTGCACTAGCACTGCCAATGATGTTCGGGAGCTCGTCCCCGCGAGCTTGGGCACATATGCTTTGCCTTTCTTAAGACAGCGCAAATGCACATACCGTGCTGTTTCGACATGGACGAAATGTGTGCTCGCCCAGCTACAAGCTTCATGTTCCAGTTGGGTGTTGTTGTACATCTGACTGCAAGCATGTTCAAGCCATTGCCCATGCTTCTGCAGCTCCTTTGGTTTTTTCTTATGTGCTTCTCTTATGTTGATCAGGGGGTCAATGACTTACACAGTGCACTTATTGCAAGACTTAAGCATCATCTTCAGATAGCCGGCCTGACCACGTTTGTCCGTTTTATTTGGTCAATTCTTTGTACCTGGCCATGGCGCCCCAAGATGAGCGTGCCAAGGAGCTGTTTCTCGGCGCGAATCTTTTGATCCCCGAGTCTGTTTCGACTCCATCGGATGGCCTGTCACTTTTTTCGCGTCTTTCACGCTTTGGCGAGGCTTCTCGAGGCAAAACGCCTTGTCGGGCAACTCAAGGCACACGTTTTGTGGTGCTCCATCGGCTTTCCACTGTCTAATCTGTCTAGATCCTGAACACGACTGAACTCGACACGGCTCGTGAGAGGCCTTCGAGGCGTTGGCTCCTGCACAGGAGGCACTCGCGATCTTCCGCGAGCTGGGGGCCTGGGCCTCGAGGTTGTCGTAGTCACTGCGCTGACCCGTGGATTGCAGAGCATGGTAGAAGTGAAGTCCGGCTTTTTGTTCCGTCTCAATCCAAGAAAGTCAGACAAACTGGGCAGGGCTGCAAACGCATACCTCTTTATATGTACATGTTGCTAGATGTCATTGACACTATGCCCTTGTCAAGCCTCATGGATCAGCCCCGGTGCCAGGATCAAGTGGGCATCGCGCAAGCATTGCGAACCTTGCCGTGAATAGTTGGCATCGCAGGAATTCGATGTTAAGGCCCTCAAGGCCAGCGTTGTCTCTTGCGTGGTGGCTGGTTGAGGTTCGCCATGTGAGCTTGGTCAAGTAGCGTGGATACTCACGGTGACATATGCCTCGACTCTCTGTGCTCCGCGCGTTTTCCTGGCCGCTTCGGCCGCTTCGGCCGCTTCGGCCGCTTCGGCCAAGCGGCCTCTACAGTAAGGTCCAGTGCTCATAGCGCAGATGGAGCGCGGGGAGGTGAAGCCAGAGGAGGCCCTCACGACGGTGAAGGCGCACGTGCCCATTGCCTGCCACTTTCCTTTGCACAGAGCTCTGACAACTTTCAAGCCCTGGGGCTCTGGGGTTGCCAGAGAGCACTGCAACATGCCGCAACATGCCGCAACATGCCGCAACATGCCGCAACACTGCCGTGGCTTTGTTCCATTGGACGGCTCGACATCGGAATCGAAGGTCTCAGTTGAACAGCTGTAGAATGTAGAGGTGTGAGATGGTATCAATGTAGAGGTGTGATGGGAAAGGGCTTCTTTCAAGCTCCAAAGCAGGAGGAGGCCGCAAAGGTGAAGCGCACTGCTCGGGACGGTCGCCGTGCCGAGGCCAAGAGTGGTGCATGGGGGGAATGGGTATGGAATGGGTCTGGAATGGGTATGGAATGGGTATGTTGTGATGTCGGTGTTCCTCACCGTCCCTTAGTGACAGCTATTGTCAGCTCTAGGCTGGTTGCCGTAGGCCTTAGGCCACTTACTTGCCAGCTCAGCAGCTCAAATGAACCATGTGAATATGAAGTTTGAGAGTCTTGAGAGGCAGCCATGCAAGTGACCCTGGCTGCTGTTCAGCTGGCGAAGGCAGAGGAAGAGCACTCATGGAAGACATGAGGAGCAGATCTAGCCATAGTGTGTGGCACAACACCGGGTCAACTCAGTTGTAAGTTGAAGCGAATTATGGCACAACTCAGTAAGCAAGAAGCAAGAGTGCAAGACCTTTCCTCTTTCTCATTCTTCCTTTGACGCACTGCTTCTCGGCGTCGGCTCGAGTGCAAGACCTTTCCTCTCTCTCATGCTCCCCTCCTCTTTCTTACTTGCGAAATCCTTCGAACATCACTTGTTGGCGCACTGCCTCTTGGCGGCTCCACCACAAGTCACAAGATGGTGTACGGGCATGTTTCCCGGATATGCTTGCTCACTCATCTTCGTGTTCTGGACGGAATGTTTCAGCTCGATGAACTGACAGCATGCCTGGACAAGAGGGCAGATTAGTCGAGATGGGCTCCACATCTCAGTAGCACAAGAATACGACAGCAGCCACAAGCCGTGCAGCTTCTTTCATACCCCGAAATGTCAAAATGTTTCTTGACATAGCCTTGTCGTGTCAAATGTTTCTTGACCAAGCCTTGTCGTGTCAAAGCACAGGCTTCAATCGGTTTGGGGTCTGCGCTAGTATAATTCGTTCTTAGTAGGAGTGAGGTGCTTGCAGCAGCGAATACTCTCTGTGCTATTTGGGCTTGGTTTGCGGCAAGCGCAAGCACAGAACAACACACTTGGTTGTCGGTTACTTCAGTTTATTCAGCTGCTTCTCTTTGCAGAGTCGCGTCGCCAGGCCGAGCCTGTGAAGGCAGTGCTTGCTGCTGCAGACGCGGAAGCCTATTTCCAGCGCGAGGAGGCCTGGAACCACCCTGTCATCCCAGATTCCTCAGACCTTGCACCGGCTGACTCGCAAAAGCGATGAAAACGAACAAGGACTATCCTGCTCTGGCAGATGTTCTACTGGAGGCACGATATGCACCAGAAAAGGATGTGCCGAAACAGCTGTGCCTGTCTACAGAGTCTACAACACGTCTGTCCTTCCGGTCGTTGCAATCAGTACACATATGTACACATTGAAGTTCTGTGAGGTTGTGGCCCCCGCCCACCTCCAGCGAGGTGATGGCCAAAAGGCTTGGGGTAAGGTGAAGATGTGCAGATATGCGAGCTCATGTGAGAGATATCACGAAGGCATACGAAGGCTTTAGGCGGTTTTGTCTGGGAAGCTGTGGGCTATGGATGCTGATACGGGGAGGGGGCCCTGCCGTGTTTTTTGCTGCCATGTACAGCCGAAGTTTACCTCTGAAATTCCAAAGTAATGTCTGTCCTTAGAAATTAGAAATTTTCGAAGGCTCGAAGTTGACATGACATATTAGTGACATCTCGTGACGTTTATCCGGGGACATGGGGCCAATTCTGATTATATCAATATGGCGTGGGGGTGAGAAGGGTCTAGCGCTCAGCGACTGCGTGCGGTCGTGTTTGGGCTAACTTTTATTGGCTTCGGCCTGCCCCTCAAGTGGAGAGATGAACGGAGAGAGGAGACGGAGACGATGCGATGCAATGCAATGCGTCAATACGAACCTGAGCTAACCTGCAGGCCATGGATGCTGCAAATCTCGTCCTTGACGTCGCTCAGAAGGTAAAGGATCCAGAGGCAGGAGACATGGAGATGTGGCTGTTGTTTATTGGTTGCAGTGCCCTGCCCGCCTTGACAAACGGGGCATGGACTCACAACGGTGCGAAGAATATTCCGAATTCGCCTTTGTTGGGGGCGGCGGGCGCCGTCGAGATTCAACGAGACCAAAGCAGGCTCTGCAAAAGCTGCAGAGCCTGCCGCCCCTGAGGGGTCGCCTAGCAAGCTCTTGCTCAGAAACCGCCAAGAGAGGGTTTCTTTGCCTTCTGTGGCTTCCCGCTGATACCTGCCGCGAACTCGAACTGTCTGCGCAAAAATCGGCCTGTTCCACGAAGCGCTTGCATGTTAGAACAAGGATAGACACCGCCCCAGCTTGAGAATAGAAGGCCTTGAGAGAGATTTCTGGGCCGTGAGCATGAGCCCCAAGCTTTTGAGAACCTCAGCAAAGCACAGAGAATGTTGCGAGTCTTCCGACAAATTTTCCAGCAGAGCTTAGGCCCGGAAGAGCTCTTGCAGAGAGCCCTGTCAAAGAGCCAACTGATGCAAGCTAATGTGAGCCGGCAAGCTGGCCAATGGATGTCAGGTAGAGGCCCGCGCCTGGAGTCTGGTGGCAGCTGGCCGTTTCGCAACTTCCGCAGAGGACGCTGCAGAGGCAGCGAGTCCGAACATGTGCAAAAAGGCAGAATTAACTACGGCTTTCTCGTCCTCTGGGGATTGGAAATGGGGGGGGTCGCAGACTTCCGGTTGCAGGCATTTTGGCAGCAAAACCACGCGCACAGGATTGTGACAGTCTCTTCACGCTCTTTGTCTCGTAGTGTCTCCGATACTGATTTTTTTCATCCCTGTCCTGCAGGCTGCTCGGAAGGCCCTGGACCTCTTCCGAAACCGGAACAGCCCTGTTGGTGAAGCACAGATGCAGCTGACCTGCAGAAAGTTGTTGTTGGCCTTGGATCCTGACGGTGGTAGCACGACTCTTTGTTCCAGTTTGAGACTGTGCAGCGACTGATGATGGTGCGGTTGATATGACACATTCACGTTCAGGCGTGCATAGAAATTGCAGGCTTATTGAGTTGGCGCGCGGTCAGCTTTCGCGGCAGGAGAGGTCAACGCTGCAGTAGCGCAGCATGGCGATTGCACGTGGGCTACATGATTAGCTGGCAACAGCAAAGCTCACGAACTGAGTTGAGCGTTGAATGTGCTGAGAGTGGCATGGAGCAGCCCTCGCCTTCAACACCATGTTAGTTGGAAGCATCGAGCCACGACCACGAAAGGGAGAACTTAGCCCTATGAGGACTCCTTGGCTGCCTTAGCATCAGCGAGAGAGGCGGAAGCTGTGCTGAGAGCCTTGTTGAGGTGTCGCTCGTCTTTTGTTTGTTGGTTCAAAGGTCACATCTTGTAAGAAGCCAAATATTGAACAAACTGTGGCAGATGAACTTCAGATCAAGGGCTTCTATATGCTAGCCTGTCGAAAATTGAACCTTCATTGTCCCGAGGGCTGCTTGCCATCTCTTGCGAAATGGGTTCTGGTGGTTTGCATGGTGCACGGGCGACATCATCAGCATTCACACGCTGATATGTCAAACAAGTCGGTTCTCGAATCCCGTCGATGGAGCCAGCAGCTCAGAACGCCCCTTCTCAATTGACTACAAGCTGCTACGAGATGTATTAGTTAGTATCACTTCTACTAGCATGCTTTGTGGGACTGAGCCACGGGCAATCCCGTTGCGCCCGTTAGGACGGGGACATGCCTGAGGCAGCTCTGCACTTCTCTTTTGAAATGCTTCAGGCGCTGAAGGTGGCCCGAGAAGCCGGCAGTTGGGCACAGGCTGCGTCCCGAGATTTGGAACAGCTCTGGGATTGCTGTTGCAATTTCTGGGGCAATTTCTCTGCAATTGCCGGCAATTGCTGGCAAATACTCCACACGACAAAGCACACGTTTGCAAAAGATGCTAAAGGACCTGAGACCTGTAGATTGTTGTTGGAACTTGTTGGAATTTGTTGGATGGACTCTGCGCTGCAATTTGACCGCATTGGCTTTGCATCTGAACTTGAATCCCCCAAGGCCGGGAAAGCTACCGAAGCCATTGTGGAAGTGGATTGCTCGAGATCAGCTGCAGCTTCGTACACACTCTTGTAGGTGTTTTAGGGCAGGTTCTCGTGCGGGTGTGAAATGACCTCTGCAGCATCTGCCAGCCAACTGGTTAGTAAAAGACGTGTGAGAGCGTGAAAGCCAGGATGGGGCGATTGCCATGAACAAACATGTTTCAGCGTAGTTGAGTAGGACCGCCAGGAGTTTGCTTCATGAGCACGAGAGTCTGTGACGGGTGCTGCAACCGAGGCGCAGCTTCAAGCTGGCCAGCCGAAGTCTGCTCATGAAGAGGCTTGGTGTCTCAGGAGATCACGCTCTGCATTTTTTCGCAATGAGGATAATGAGGAGAGAAGCGTCTGCTTTGCTGGGCTTTGCTGGGCTTTGCCTTTCGCAGAGCCTCAACTCTCCCTGCTGAGGCAGAGGAGCAGCTCAAGTTGGTGCCTCAGGGCCCAGCCCAAAAGCATTCCCGCTGAGACACGGACTCCAAGCGTTTGAAACTTGCAATCCATCCCTTCAAGTGCTTTCAGGTGGATCAGCCAGGTGACGCCAGACAACAGTAGCAAGAAGGCTGGTTCAGAAGCACCGTGCAGAGTCAAGCACCGCAGCCAAACTTTGACAGCAAACGCGAGTGTAGTAGACTCGGTTTCTCTCGCAGCAATGCTACGAAACTTGCCAGGGCTTGGTGTCTGTGATGTCTGCCGTGGTTGTGGCGACGGCAGTGCTGAAAGGCATGTGTGCTGTGCTTTCTTGCCTTGTGGGGAGGAGGTCGGAGGAGAATGAAAAATCGAAAACAGCAATTTCTCTCAACTCCGGTCAGCTCAAGCCCTCGGGAAGCACAAGGACGGGTCGTGGTTCAATGTAGTTATATGTAGTTGCAGGTGTTCACAGCTTCTGCTTCGTGGGGCCTTGAAACTCGTGGACCAACAGCGTGGCTTCCAACGTGTCAGGCGGAGATGCCGGGTTGGAGGTTGTAAAGAGCTACGTCGGCCACCCAGAGCCAAGGCCTGCAATGACCTTGACACACATCCACATGTCACAGCTTAATCAGGTTGTGCATTTTTTCAAGGATGTCTACGCGGTCTACATGGTGTTGATATGAATCTGGCCGTTGCCATGACGGTTCAAGCTGAGGAAATGCACTGGCTGTGGTGTAGGGTCCGGATTTTGTTTATGACCGGCCATGTTGTACAGCTGGATGGACGGCCCGGACGACGAGGCCATCGAGACAAATCAGATTGCCTTCTGCAGCACTTGGAACTAAAATCCAATTCCGAAAAGACACAATCTAATCGACACTGGTATCGTTCGAGCCTGGGGTTCTGTCATGCGAGCTTTGCTCGGCATTCGTATCCGTCAGCGATCCTTGACGAAGACAGACAGGACAGGAACAGTCTAGACTTTTGGGCTTGCAGTGCGAGGCATTGAGCGACGGGGAAAGGAAAAGGCTTCCAATCTGCTGAGGCAAGTAAGCCTTTAAGTAAGCAAAACTGCAGCTCAGTGCCTGGACGTGTTCCCCTTGCTCCCCTTCTTTCGCACTGTCTTTCTCTCTCTCTCTCTCTCATGGCATGTTTGGAAGACCCTGGTTCAGCTCTCCCTCGCCCACACCGCACAGCAGCACTTCCGTCCCAGCCGCATAACGGTTCCCGCCGGGTCCAACAATGCCAAGGGCCGAGAGGTTGCTTAGATCCACTTCTGACCATGTAGAGAAGAGGTACTTCGGAGTACTTCGTTGCTCGTGGTGCGCAGTGTGTGCCTGCCCTTCCTGTGTGCACTCGAGGGTTTGAGTTGTTGGGAAAGACTCTTTGCCCCCAACGATCCGAGACTCCCCACCTGTACCGGATCGGGCGCAGCCGTCGGGAGGGGAGATACCAAACTGAGAAGGAAGAGGTCATTTTGAAAGAAGAAGTGGGTTGTTTCTGACTTCCTGAAAGGGTCTTAGATGCCTCAAGCCAGGTGCTGAAGCAAACAGGGCCAGACGAAGACGAATTTTCCGATATGGCAAGGCAACCTGTTCCGTTGATGTTATTGCCGTAAGACTGCAGCATAGTCGAGCAGTCATGCATGTTGACTGCCTGGTGATTCTAGATGAGAGATGGTTCCTGCTCCATTGCACCTTACTGCTCGTCCAGCTCGAACCCTGGAGGTCCTAGCCCTGGCGGCAGTCATAGTCGTTACTGCGTCAGCATTTGTACAAGGGAGATCTATGCCCAGAAGATTTGAGCAGGCCTGCGTCTTGGGGAACATGGGGAACGCATGCTGCAGGTTTTAGCCCCGTGATTTAGCAGTGATGCGTGGTCCAGGTGATTCAACTTATGTACATTCAGGAGATCAGTTCAGGCTGCGCTTTCTAGTCGCCAGTCGGTGCGAAAGGTGATCAAGGGGCGGCTTGCCTTGGCAGCCTACGATGATTTGAAGGCAAGCGGGCGATCATGCAAGGTGCCATGCAATATGCAAATATCCATCTCAAAGCCGTATCAGCCTACAACCCCGGCGATGGCAGTTAGAGCTGAAGCATGAGCACTGGGGAAGAGAATTCTATATTCTTGTCCTCGATATCACTTCGCCTTCGTGAGCAGCAACTCTACCTGGTTCATTTGACTAAATATTTTGTTTTTTCTTCTCTCTCTGTCTCTTCCTTTCCCGCTCTCCCTCTCCCTCTCTCCTTCTCCCGTTCTTTCTCTCTTTTTGCTCGGTTGCGGTTTGAGCGGTCTGATGCTTGAGCCTTCGGGCCGGAGGTGATACCGCCTTTTTCTTGTCGGACTCTGCCCTGGTCGCCCTCTACTCCACTCCACTCCAAGATATGCAAGCACAACCTAGTTTGAAAGAGCACCGGCTGTGAATTCGCATTGATGGTTGCAATGCCATTGGTTTTGCAATCGCCAGTCTTGCACACTGCCCTGCGCACCACCTGTGGGCAAACAGACACAGAACAGACGTAGAGCAAAACCACGCGCAGATACTCTCAGCAGTCAGGTGGCAGACCTCAAAGCGATGCTGTCTGAACGCGGGCTCAAAGTCAGCGGCAGGAAGGCACGATTTCGGTGTCTGCAGATCTGTTTCTCACAGCAGAGTTTGTCGAAATGTTTTGAGATGTTCAGAACTAAGCAGCGCCTCGCATGCCCAAGAGCCCAAGCTGCAGGCAGAGTTGATCGCTCGACTTGAGGAGCACGACACACAGGAGATGAACTTGCGTTGTCATGTTATGAACAGATCTGTTTTGCCATGTGGGTGCTACGGTCACAGTTCGACAGTTCAGCCTGCATTGCAAAATGCCGTGCATTGATGTTCTGAGCAAAGTTCGATCTTCTCGCAAGTGTTCTTCACACAGCAGAATCTGTAGGCCGACAGCTCGGAAGCAGAACCTGAGGAGGCTGAGGAAACTGAAGCGATTCAGGAGGCAGTTCCTGCTCAATCATCTTACATCATCTTCGTGGCGGTGGTTTCAATATTCGTATCTGTGTATCTGTGGGGTTCCAGAGAGACTTGCAGGTCACTTCTGGGGCTTGGCTTGTGAGTGTCAATGCAAGGAGAAGCCCCGAAAAGCAAGCAAAGCAGCATCTGAAGAATCTGAAGGCTTCAAGGCGACATCGGTGCATGTGTTTTTGTGTTTTTCTCCCCCCCCCCCCCCCTCTCTCCCGGATAGCCCGGGCCGCCTTGGAAGCAGTCTCTGGAAAGGCTGGAAACCTAGCTTTGGCTCTTTTCCATGAAGATGAGAAGTACTATTCCGCGGCTTGGCCATGATTGCTGCGAGAACGTGTCACAGTGTGTCTTGCATTCATCTAGGGCCCTTGGCCTTTTGTTCGTGGGTTTGCGACGTTTTGGGTTTGCGACGTTTTGGGGGATGCCTCGGCATCACCGTGGCTACAGGGACCGGTTCCTGGCGTGAGAGTTGAGGTTCGAATTGTCAAAGACAATGGCGACGACACATTCGACATTGAGTGGTGTGAGGATGATGCAGAAGACACTGTAAATTTAGCTGACCTCAGGCGGGGGGGTACAGATCCATAATTGTACACCCACGGACACCATGTAGGCACGCAACTTGGCCGAATGACATCGAACCCCCGTTCAATTCCTCTGAAGCGTTATATCCGTGTATTTCGTAGCCCAGACCTGCCAGATACTTGCAGTAATCGGAGGCCGAACACCAAGCTCTTCAAAAAGGGGGACCTCGTGATTGCAAAGTGCAACGAAGATGGGAGGAAGTATACTGCTGTCGTTCAAGAGAACAATGGCAAAGGCAGCGTTACCGTGCAGTATGTGGAAGACGAGACAGAGGAGGAGGTGCTTCTGGACAATATGTGGTCCCAGAAGAAGAAGTTTAAGAAAGGCCAAAAGGTTGAGGCACAGTTTCCCGATGACAAAGAGTGGTACCCTGCCACCATCAAAGAGATGGTTGGCAGCGGCAAGTACCTTGTGGAGCAACTCGGACAGCAAAGAGGCAACGCGCAATATTAACATCTGTTTCAGAGATTTTCAGAGAGTAGCGCAGGAGGACCTGCCCTTCCAGGTGGGAAGATGCAGATGGAGGAGATCCAGAAAGCGAGCTTGTGTTGGATCACATCCAGATACCCAGGCCAGGGGATGGTTTAAGAAATAGAAGTCCTGGGATTATCATTCGTATTCGTTTTCCAGAGCACTTGTGCGTTCAACGGCTGTTTGCGTCCCAACCAGTCTGTTGATTGGGTGAGAGAGAAAGTGAGAAAAGTCAGCATCAAAAGCCCCGCAGTGCGACATGCGATGCGTTGCGGACGGGATGATCTCAGGTCTTGCGGACCGTGCTGTTGTTTCACTCTAGAGTCCTCTGCAATAAGTGCCACTCACAATGAGACGGCCGGGGCTTAAAGCTGAACTCGAACACCGAAATGCTGCATGATGATACTATAATGATACCAGGTGCACGGCAGTTGCTTGGCCTATTGTCCCTGCGAGGGTTGCGTTGGACACCCTGGAAATTGGGCAGAAGCTGCGAGGAGAGGTGAAAAGAGTGATGGATTTCGGTGCTTTCGTCGATGTTGGTCGCGGCCTCAGTCCTCATACCCTTTCCTGATCTAAAAACATATCTTTCCCATTCTTTCCTGTAAAGTTTTCCTTGGAGCTCAGGTTGCTACACCGATGGGCTGATTCACATCTCCAAAATGGACATCGGACGGGTTGACAATCCACATGACTACGTGGAGGAAGATCAGGAGCTCGACGTTTGGGTGCGGTGCTCAGCATAAATTCGCGCACCTGATTCTACGTCTGAGTCGGGTGCTCTGCTGCACCACGGCAGCAAAGTGGTTTCCGTGCCAGTGAGTGTGCAGTCCTGCTACTCGTCATGGCACTGGCCGCAGCTCCCCGAACTTGGATGTCCGAGTTGTGCATGTCGAAGGCTCTCTGTTGAGAGCCTATAAGCCTATGCTCTCAAAGCAGCTGCATTTCGTGGGCAGAGACACGGTTTGCTCGTCTTCCCACCGATGCCCCACTCGTGCGCTGTTCGCGTTCAGAGTTCACGGCATCATGTGCTGTGAAGGGCCGTAGCGGGCGGGAGTTCAACTTGGGGTCCCAGGAGCCTTTGCGAGCGTCGGGCGGGGAAACATGTGTAAGATACAGGCCGGGTTCAGGTCTTGTTGCTCCCCCAAGTCTCTGCATTCTGAAAGTCTACTTGGTTTCCATGGCTTCCGACTGGAGAGTCTCAGTCTTGGTTAGCGGACACGGACATAAGCGGCCCAAGCTTACGAGGTTGTTGTCCGCCAGGAGAGACTGTGCCCGAATCTGATGGAATCTGCATGTTTTGTTTCTTTTGGCCTTTCCGGCTGTTCTGGACCGGGCTTTCCTTGTCGTTGTCGTATGCCTTCTTCGGCTGTGTGGGCATGTGAGCTTCGGGCACTTGGAGTGCTGTGTGATGGCACGCACCAAAGCATCAGCAAGTTGCAGCATGGCCTCACCTCAGGTGTGCTCTAAAGACCCCGAACAGAACAGGCTTGGACTTACCATGGTCGCAACTTGCTCTGCCTGTCAGGAAGTTTTTTTGCCGATTGTTTTGGTTTAGAGTGCAAGCGTGCTTGTGAAGCCGCCTTGCATGTGGGAAAATAAAGCATCATAATTGAATTGAACAAGCGTGGCCCGGATCATTGTCACCAGATCCTTGTCGCTGCAAGCCCAGGAAGGAAAGTTGGGTGGTGGACCAAGGGCGCGGCGAGAGGCGCAAGTCTCACGGCAAAAGCTGAAATTCGCGTATCGTAATGTGCAGTTTCCCGAGTTGAGCTTCTTTGACAGCGACAGGTGGTCAACCCTATTGCAGACATAAATGCTGTGCTCTCAGAAGCCACGTGAGCGGTGAGGAGAACTTCTAGGGCGTCAAGAAGCTTCTTCACCTGTACCATATACTATGTCTGACGAAGGCTTAGGGACCTTGACACTGTTTTAGTCGGTTGAGGGAGTTTAAGGCCTTAGAAATGGATATTCAGCATATATGCCCCTGTTTGTCCAGAGCGTGGGTTAGAGCCTTCTGAATAGGGCCCAGTGTAGGGTGATGCGGGCTGTGGAGAGCAAACCTTGCGCCCTGTAGAACTAGGTTGGCGATGAGTACGAGGGCACTGTGGAGAGCATCAGGCCGCGCTGGTTTGGACAATTTTGGACATGGAGATTTGAGCTAAGTGGAGCTAAGTTGTTTGCTCCCAAGCCCTCGCATGGACCTCTTTTACGGATGTGCCTCCTCCAACTCCAGCTTCAGCCTCGCGCCTGCGGCTCCAAACCCTGTTTGTTATCCCGAAGACTTCAAAACAGGATCCATAAATAAGCTCATTTAGCTCACAAGCACCTCTCAATGGAGCTTGAGTGGACTGGAAAACGCGAGGGAGTTCGGCGCCTTTGTTGACATCGGGGCAGAGAGAGCTGGGCTGGTGCACATCTCGCGTCTTGCAGAAGGATTCGTGGTGTCCCCAGAGTCGCGTCTCAGTGACTCAGTGCAAGCATCCCTCGAGTGCGAGGCGAGTTAGGCTCGCGCATTTCGTTCAAGGTTGAAAACCCCCACGACCATGTGTCCGAAGGTCAGAAGGCGGGATGTCCTGAAACCTTGGCCGGGTTGACTGCCTCGTAGAGTGTTGTGCTGTGCAAGGTCCAGGTGTGGGTGCATTCCGTTGACGGCGACAGGCTTGGTCTATCCATGAAAAGGACTGGACGTATGCAATGACTGGATCAGAGGTTGATGAGTCGTTTGGGCTTTGCCTGTGGTGTTTTTGGGCTGGTTTTTCAGGCGTATGATGGCGCTTGACTCGTTCGAGCTGCCATACCATCTCTGAAACATCCTGAAACCGCTCAGTTCCCAGCTACTGGTTCCGAATGGTTCCCCTCAAGCCCCATCTTAGCTGTTGTGGATTCGATGCACCACAACTGGAACCTGTAGCTTCGAGCATCCGATCCTCGGCCTATGACTGAACAAACCTCGACATTTTTGAATGGCAACCTGCCGCCAGACGCACCACAACTTTTAAGCCCAAGCTCTGAACACAGAACTCCTAATCCAATCCCTTTTCGCAAGCCTCCCTTCGTGCGAGGAGCTAGATCGTCCAAGCCAGATCCTGCAACGAAAAACGTGTGCTCACTCTCTCTCTCTCTCTCAGCATTCTGATTGGCTTGAGTATGCTGTGACTTGCAAAGAGCTTTGTTGCGGCATGGAGTCCGCAAAGAATTTTTGTCAGTTGTTGTGCCTGCTGGCACCCAGGTTGAGAAACTCCGTGCAGATGGCGACAAGCGCGGGGAGGAATCGGCCGTGTGGTAGCGACATGTAGAGACACTGATAGATAGAGAGAGAGAGAGAGAGACGCGGGAGCGGGGCGCGCCTTGGCGCAGGGTCCGTCCCTATGCCCCTAAGCAAAGCAAAGCAAAGAGAGAGAGAGAGAGAGAGAGAGAGGGACACAGACCCACTTGGCCGTCGCGGCCGGGTTCCTCCTTCGGGGGGGGCTCCTAAGTGCAGGGAAGGGAAGGAAGAGAGGGAGAGAGAGTGTTGGAAACCTGGGGTCAGCAGAGACAAGCAGGCGTAGCGACAGGTACAGACGCTGGGAACGGAGGGGGAGCACACGGGGGGCCTTCACTAGATTCACACATGTGGGGTAGGGGTCGAGAGTCAACAGTCTTGTGCTCCCTCTCCTCCAACCGCCCCAACCGGAGGCCCCCCGAATACCGGGGCGGGCGAGGACGCCCGGGGGTTCGCCCCCATGCCCCCAAGAACGAAAGAAAGAAAGAGAGTGTTAGTGCGGAGTCAGCGCGGGACCGGGGCGCGCTGTTGCGCGGGGTTTTTTCCCCTCAAGCCCCAAAGAAAGAAAGAGCTGGCAACCCTAAGCAGACATTTCACCTGGATCTCGCACTCGGGCGCGCCTTGGTACGCGGGGGGGCTTTCGGGTCTCCTGAAGCCCAGCAGAAGAAGAAGAAAAAGAAGGGCGCGCCTAGTGCGGGAGGGGCCCCATGCGTAGAAGAAGAAGAAGAAGAATAAGAAGAAGAAGAAGAAGATCAGACGGAGAGGGAGGGAGGCACCCATGATTACAAAGCACCTCGGTATCACATGTGCGGAGGCAAGGCCCTCGTGTAGACATGGGTGGTAGGTGGTTTTCAAGTAATGGTTGTTAAAACGTTCTTTATGAGCATCCTGGTTTCGTACCAACAAACTCGGTGGAGTACGCCCCTCGGGGGGGGTTTTCGGGGCTGCGCTGCAAGCAAGGAGGGGAGGGGGTGAGGGAGAGGGGAGGGGGGGAGGGAGGGAGGGGGGAGGGGAGGAGGAGGAGGGGGAGGAGGGAGGGGGAGGAGGGAAGGGGAGGAGAGAGGGGGAGGAGGGAGGGGGAGGAGGGAGGGGGAGGAGGGAAGAGGAGGGAGGAGGGGGAGGGGGGGGACGGAGAAAGGAGGGAGGGGGATGGAGAGGGGAGGGAGTTTCGGGCCCAATCATCTTGCGGTAGTGCATGGCTCAGGGCCTCCGTGCCTGGCGTGGCCTGTCATGTATCCGAGTTGTGCAGCTCAGCCAAGCACGCAGGTTCTCATGTTGCACAAGCTGGCTACCATGCCTCTTAGCAGCCAAAAGCCAGCCAGTGCTGTACGTTTCTGGACTGGTGAAAAGCACAGCCATTTGCTGCCGAGGTCCCCGTATCCAGACTATGCGCTCAACACAGCTCAGGCCAACGACTGAAGCTGAGAAGTGGGTATGGGGTAAGCAAGCGTGTGGGGCCACAGCAGCAGAGGCCTTCGTGATGTTCAGTTGCTTTGCCGCTTGCAATAGAAGGGACCTCGTCAGCTCTGTGCACTCAGTTTCTGACAGCCCGTGCAGTAGGCAGCCGTGGAGCTAGCACGCAAAGAAGGCTTCGCCATGGAGGAGAAGGCGACGTGATGCGACATGCATCTGGATGAAGCCATACATTGTATGAAACCTGTGATGTGGAGAACAGAAGACAGTGAGAAGTGTGTCGCACAAGGCTCTCAAGCGGACATTGACTCAACTCTACGCAGCGAAGGGCAACATCGACAAGGCAAGCCCAAACTCCCAAACCTGCAAAAACATGGGCACCATTCCCAGTACGCTGGAAGTCACTTGGTACTGACAGAGTCTGTCATGGATTGCTCAACGCGTGACCTCAGGCACCCAATCGACGAGAAGCATTGCACCTTGTCGATTCCTGTTTGCTTTTGAGTTTGTGGCTTTTTGCACGCTGCCCAGACTAGTTGGCTGGTGCTTAGACGGCATAGGCAGCAATGGCGCTTCACACTGGTATTCGCAGTGGGTTCGTGGCGTTGGGTCATCAAGAAAAGCAGTTTAACACTGCTTGTTTTCCGGGATAGACCTCCAGACTTGACTTCCGTAATGTGAGTTTTCAATTGAACACGCCGAGCTCTACTATGCTCTCCCGGGGTCGTGTCGAGATCAAGTCGCACTGCGCACTGTCGTTCCAGTCCTCCTTTCCCTGGGTACGGCGTCGTCCCAAGGCTTTTACTGCAGGACCTGGCGCGAGAGTTGGAGAGGAAGGCAAGGCTTGACAGCATGTGAAGCGCATGTACATGATGAACATGTCTGCATCGCAATGAAAGGATGGCGATAAGTTCGACGATGCGAACAAGAACTTGGAAGGTTTTTGGATGGCCCTCAAGCAGAGTGACGTCGATGCAGCGGTCTCAGCTCACTATGTGGGGTGTCTGTGTGGTGATGATGATGATGATGATGATGATGGTGGTGGTGGTGATGATGATGATGATGTGCGTTTGCAAATCCTGCGGGTTGAAATTTTCCCAGCTGGCCTCAGCACTCCGATGAGTTTTGTGAGATGTTTTGAGGCTGCCATGCAGAAAGTCGTCTCTCGGGATCCCGTCACCTATCTCCAGTTCCTCAAAGAGCATGGCCTGAGCCTCAAGTTTCCTCACTTCCTTTCTGCCTCCTTTTTTGTTCTTTCTGCCTTGCATCGGGACTGATGCATCCCATTCTGAGCTTAACCCAGGGGCCAACGTAGCGGTGCCCGGTGAGAAGGCAGCGCCTCCTCCCGGAGCTGACGTCCAGGCCACTGAAAAACTTCTCAACATCGCCTCGTTTCGCCTCGTTTCGCCTCGTTTCTGCCGCTTTGATCTGCAGGGGCTGGGGCTGCAGAATAAGCTGCTGCGAAGCCCTCAGATCAGATCCAGATCCCATTTCAGTTCACAAAGCTCTTTGCTTCTGGTATTTGGGTATGGTATCGTGGCAGGACCGGCCCAAAGCCTTACCTTTACCTCAGTTTCAGGGCCGAGCCCTCAGCAGCTTTCTTTGCGGTCCTCCTCCCCATCTTCCTGCGGTAGACACACAGTCTCTTCAGGTTGGTGGCATCAGCTACGGTCCAAGGCTATGGCCTTGGCTGCGACAGACTTCCCGAATATGTTTTGCAGGGGCACGTGCAGCATCACATGACGAGCGCCAGCATCCAGCATCATCCAACATTGTTGCAAGGTATCGCTGTTGCGATCTCCCCATGGGAGTGGGAGGTGAACCGGGCTCTGCCGTTGGTGTCCTAGCACTTCAGGAGCCTCCTCGGCCGAATAAATTAGGGCACGTGACAAGGTGTGTAGAGGGCTCGTGACAAGGTGTGTAGCCAACATGTATCAAGAGCAACACCTCCTGATTGGCAGCCCAGCCCTCTCTCCAGCTTGAGAAGGACACGTCCGACGACTGGGAGCGCGAGCTGCAGTACAACCCGTCCATCTTGGACCCCTTGTGGAAGTAGAAGTAATGGATGCTTCATGGTATTTCATGGTGCTTCGTTGTACGCATCCTTGCTCGGATCCATTCTGCAGAGCTCTGCCAATGATGCCCCGATGTGAATTATGTGACGGGTCGATTCTGGACAGGGTCAAAGGCAAATACCCAAGGTACATATGTTGGCTCTTGCACGGCCTAAAGGCCACGAAAGACGGGTGGAAGTGTAAACAGCTCTCGAAGTCACTACGACGACTACCAGCTGCCGAAGCGTTTCGCAGCACCAAAGCTTGCGGCAAGATCGAACAGTACTGAAGAACACGAACATCCAGGTCCCAGGTGTCCACAACCCAGGAGTGACTTGAGGGGTCATGGGGCGCCACCAGACGTAGAATATGGACAGACGTAGAATATGGATGAATCGTACTCAAAACTAATGCGCCTTCCACAGAACAACATTACACCTCGCATCACTCCGCCACCAGGGCACTCGCATGAACCCACAAAGTACTGCACGCATATGATATGCACACGCACTCACACTTGAATTCGCGCCTAGTCCCCGGCCTCACCTTCCGAGGGCTTGTCTTGTCTGTACGATGGCTGCTTTCATGTCCAGGTTGTCATTAGACAGCCCTTGGAAAGGGCTCAAACGGGTTGCAGAAAGTATAGAAAGTAAATTCGCCACTTGAGCAACTCGATCAGAAGCCAACTAGCTTGCCTAAAAAACAGGGAGCGTGATGGCCTCCTCTGTTTCTAAAGCTGTTCCAAAACTAGCAATGTAAGTTGCAGCAGGCCTTACAACTTTTGCTTGCCAAGGCTGCATCTCAGCAAACAATGTACACTGGAACTTTGTGCTCACGGCCAATCCACTGGAACATATGGAATGCGTCCGAACCGCCCCGCAGGATTGTGCTCTGCAGAACGGCGCTGCAGGCTTGTTTGTGGAGAACCGCAACCTTTGACATTGACTCCGCTGAGTTGCATCTTTGCATCTTCCGCTTCCCATCACAGCCACCAGCGCTTAGGCAAGGCTCTGGTTCAGTTCCAGCTTTGCTCTCTTTCCGGGGCCTGAAGTCCCAGTACATAGACACAATGTCTCTTTGCCTCGCCTGGTGGCAGCCACTCTTCAAGCAAGAGGAAAATCCAAGCAAGGCAGGCAGTTGTTTTCATGCCTATTGCCATGGATCGAGGATCACCCCGTGGTCTGAGAGCCATGGTTTTTTGATAGTTTTCGTAGGCCGATGTCATTGCTGTGCATTGCTGCTCGTTGCCGGACCTGGCTCTGGGCCAGCAAAGCCTTGCACTAGAAGAAGACTCCCCACATCTACACGGCCACACGTCCTCACCTATGATTGCTAGACTCGGTGAAAGCTCCGCATTTTGGCAGTGGTCTGTGAACGGTTCCCATAGCCGCAGCATCCGCAGCCTGAGCCACAGCCTCATCACACCCCTATAAGCCATTAACCTAGCACAGCACGAAGCAGCCATTTTGTCCCCACCTGCGTACGGCGGTGGTCATGGACGGCTGCCTCCAACCTGCTGCCTGCAAAGCATCATGCAGGCAGGGATCGCACGAGCACCTCCAGTGCCTTCAGAGATAGAGAGCGAGAGCGAGAGAGAGGGAGGGAGAGTGCCTTCATCTTCATTTGTAAACAGTGTTATAATATGAACTTGGACGCAGTCTTGGACGCAGTCTGGGCGCGCCCCTCAAGCCCCGTAGAAGGAGAAGAGCAAGCAAGAGAGAGAGGGAGAAAGAAAGGGAGAAGAGCACAAGAAGCCAGGAAGAGAGAGAAGAGCTCGAACGGATTTGGATGGGATTCGGACGGATTCGGTATTCGGAAGTGTTGGAAGTGTGACCTGGGAATAGTGAGTAAACAGCGGGGGAGAGATCAGTAGGGTTTGAGGGGGGGGGTGATGGTGCAAACCTTGGACTTCCACGAAAAGAACACTTGCCGTTAAATGACAGGGGTGATGGGCAATCGCGTGATGTGCGGCGGTGCACCTCAGTGATTCCGGCTCGTCTTAAGATGGTGCCAGTTGGGGACACTGCAAGCTCATGCTTATCAGGTTGGTTCGCGTGTAGCGCTCGCCAGGTCGTGCGTGGACGAGTGTGCGCGACTGCACTTCGAAACCAGGCCGGATGCAGCACGCCTGGGTCATCTGAAGCATAATGGCGGCGTGAAGGTAGGCAGCAAACGCGTCGGTGTGATCAGCAACCCCTGGCCCAAAAGGAACTTTCGACCACTTGTGAACTTGTGAAAGGAATCGGAGCAACTCTCTTTGGCAGGAGCCGCGAGGCCGATGAGCCAGAGCTGCGGGCCCAGCACAAGCACAGTGTGAGGCAGTGAGGCCCAGTGAGGCCCAGTGAGGCCCAGTGAGGCCCAGTGAGGCCCAGCGAGGCCCAGCGAGGCCCAGCGAGGCCCAGTCAGGCGTGGTGCTGAATTCAAGATATTCAAGCCGCTCATACATTCAGAAACGCCCAGCAATTCTCTCGGCAGATGATGCTAGTGACCGCTAGTGGCCTCAGGGAAGGCTAGATTGGCTACATGTGGCTCTGCTGACACTGACATCTCAGGTGCGACCCGGCAGGTGCCGTGTTCCAAGAGACGCTTCTGGGCTTGCCACCGCGGGACCAGGAGGCGGTTCTTTCCGAGTTCTTTCCCCTTGCATCCGTTTTTGGGGATGTGGCTTTGCATGGCTCTTTGTTTTCCAGTCTTCGGTCTACTTTCGGTCTACCGGCAGTTCCCCGAATTCGTGGTGCAGGGCTTGCTCTTTGCTGGCACTGCCAATCTGGTCGCCCTTCGCTGGCTCCTGCTTCTGGGAGCCAATCCGAAGGACGGGCAAGTCGTTTCCCTGCAACTCCTGGTCGAAGTCTTTCGATCTCACTGGAGAGCCAATGGAGCAGAGCGGCTTCACGAAACCCGTAGCGCAAGTGTGGCAGATACCTTAGGCCTCTCGCACTGCTGCTTCTACCAAGCTCTGCCAAAGGCACGCGATCGAAATGGAACAACCTTGCTACACGCAGCCTGCCGCAGTGGCAGCTTTCTGGTGGCCCAGGCCAGAATCTGGTCTTCGCGTGGAGTGACTCGCGGGATGTGCGGTACAGGTTTCCTTGAACCTGACACCCAGTGCAACTCCCACAGAGCTCGTCTGCCCTGCAGTTTGCTGTGCGCAGTCGTACAAGAAGATCTCGCAGCCCCAGGAGCTGCTGCGGCGGGAGCTGCCTCTCGACGCAACAGACTCAGCAGGTTGGACGCCGGGTCCCTAAGAAGTGCCATCAGTCGATCGCGCGCATTTCAGCTCATCAAGTTGTGTTGACAAGCTGAGGCAGGTCCGAAACTTAGGATTAACAAGGAAGCCCCACCGTCAAGGTCATGAGGGTCGGTCTCAGCTTTCTTCTCGAAAATGCCCTCATAATTCCGCGACAACCTTTACACCTTTAAGCCGGTAATTCTGATTCTAAGGGTTTTCCGCGGTGACTCTGCTAGCCCCCAAGGTTCCTCACTTTAGGCTGTGGGACCGTACATCCCAAGACATCTTGCAAGGCCCTTGCATGTGGCGGCCATGATGGGTCGCCGTATGCTCAGAATCTCACACAAGGCTCTTGATTTTGCATGATTTTGCCAAGTTGAGAAGCTGTCAGTCCGGTTGCTGATGTGTACCAAGGTCGTGAATTGACGCAGCTGCTTCTGCAGGCCGTGACATCTCGCACTGATTTGCAATCGCAGAAAGGTAGGCTTGGTCACATTTTCCTTTTTACTCGAGACGTTACTTTGTGTTTGGAAAGCTGAAGCCAGTGCTGAAGTTCACTTTATGTGGCTGCGTCTCAAGTTGTAATGCTTTGTGGCAACTGGTGGCGTGCTGAGGACAAAGCCGGAGCACAGCATGACATGAGTACTTGCCACTGTGCAAGACTTGTAACCATCAGTTCACATCATGCTACAATGAATTAGAATTTTCTTGCAATTACTGAGGGAAACTCATCGGCCCAGCAACTTGCCCAGCTTTAGAGAGGCCCAGATCAATCCTCACGTTCCGAACAAGCGTGGGGCGACTCCCCTGGACTTGTGCAGCGACGTCTCGACGCGGGAGGCGCCATCTGCTGCAAATACTCACTCTCTTGGGATGTCTGTGTGGATGCTGCTGGTGATGTTGCCGAGACATTCCTCCCAGGATACTGCAATTCTTCCATGGCCTGGCTTCTTGCATGATCTGAAACTTGGTAGGCCCTGCGCACCTTTGCGATGAAAGTACCAGAAGTCGCGTCTTCGCGGATAAACTCCATCGAGGACGCGGCAGCAGACTGTGCTGATTGGGGGGGTGCAACTAGCGTGTCGCAGGCTTCAAGATGTAGAGGTTCGAGGGAAATTAAGGCCGATGTAGCTGGTTTTGCCTGAACGAAGAACTCCATAAACAAACCTAGATTTGCACACTTTCCCCAATTCCTCCCCGATACTTCACGTTATGGCAGGCCACTTCGCCTGCTGCTGTGAGTTACTTTTCCTGTAGATGCAGACGCTTGCGCAGAGCCCCAGAACCTCGGAACGCGGAAATTATGTAAAACCGTGGAGTGTGGGCGACAAAGGAAGGTTGAGCAAAGGGACCGCGATGTGGAGTCCCTAGAGAGCATCCCCGACAAGTCTTCAGGTTCCTGACTTTTCTTTGGCTTCTCTCATAAACGGGCCTTGGGCCGGGCAAGGCCAAACGGAACTTTAGAACAGCCAATGACGAGGGTCCGAGAAGAGGACAATGCCCTGTTTTACGCGAAGTTGCTGACAAAGACGGGGGGTTGCAACGGCAACTGCGATGCAGATGAGCTGATAGGTATTGATTGGTGATGTTTTGTGAACGGCTCCTGAGTTGACCAATCTCGGTCTTCGCTGCGAAAATTTGCGTTTGGACGGGTGCTCCTTTTCGAGCACGGTGTGCCGGAAACCGCAGTCTGAATTGACGACGCAGGAAGCAAATGCCAAAATATTGCTGTGATTGTTATTATTTTCTAATGGCCAGAGGCATTGCAGAGTCTGGGGTTTGGGGTTTAGGGAACTTTCGGGCTTCAGATGTCGAGGTTCAAAGTTCTGCATGTCCTGTTTTCCGCAGCCTACGTGTAAACTCCGGAATCCAGCAGTCCCTTTCGGAACGATCCGTGATGGCCATGCGGAAAGGAATTTTGGTCATGAAGCGTGCGCTGGCAGATGCAGAGGTGAACGTTTACAATGGCTATTGGGGCCCAAGTGCAACGGACATCCTGAGTGTCACCTCGCGCACTGTGGGTGGCTTTGCCGGCACTCGCCCCACATTCAAGACGCGGCCTACCTACCTGCACAAAGTGCTGCAGTGATAAAAATAATGAACTCCTCAACCTTAAATGCGGCCTGACAGGGAGGAGAGCGGGCTTGGGCTCGCCTTAGCCCTCAACAATATCCTTCGCCGCAAACTCACCATTCTTCATCTCTCACCAATCGAGCTCCCAAAAGCAAACATCATGTCCACATCACTTGTAGCTTCTGGCTCATTCTGCCACCATAAGGGACTTTCATCGACATTTGAGATTGTTTTTTCATTCATGGTTTGAAGGTTGCAAGCCTGCGTGCACCCAACCGGACCAGGAGTTTCAGAGACTCGCCCGTGTGCAAGGCAGGCCATGCATTGTCCGTACGTTCATGATCGTTCTCAGTGGCAGTGGAATGCCTTGATTCTTTTCGAGCTCCAGGTGAGGTGGGCGAAGACCCGACCGCCACATGCGAGCCCTTCTTCGTCCCAAGGCAGCCCATTTTCGAAGACGAGGCCGCGAGAGCTCATGGCAACTCGGTGTGTCCTAGCTTACGCAAGTGAAGGTGGTGTGGGCACGTCGCCGCGGTGTAGTCATGTAATCCCGGGAGGCACACTACAAGGTGTTGGTTAACATCGGCCTGGAGATGCAGGGTCCCCAAGGTGATATTTGTTTTGCACTGTTGCGCAACATGCGTGACAGTGAGTTCAAGAAGCTTGTCTGTGCCAGGGCCCACAAGAGTGCTGCCCACGCGCTCGCTTTCTTTGTGGCCACAGGCGTGTCTGGTCTTGGCAGGGTCATAAGAGCTTTACTTGTTGTTGAGGCAAAGTTTGTAGAACTGGGCAATCGTGCTGTGTTGCGAGAGATGCGAAAGTGACCAGTCCGTCATCGCTTTGCTTGGCGCATTCGTGCCTTTGCTCCTTGGCCCTTTGCCACAGCCGCAAGAAGCGGCTGTTAGGTAGATATGGTGCACCCGACGCCTTTCACTTGCCATGTATACACTGTCGATGAGTACTACACCTAGATATCCATTGAGATCCATTTGTCAGCTTTCGCACCAATCATGACGGCCAGCGGCGCGTTGAGCCATGGGCCTACTGCGGCCCTGGGGGACGTGCCCGGTGGTACCGGCCGTATGAGGCTCCACCGTAAAATCTGAATTGCATGCTTAGGCTTGAACTCAGTTGGCTTCGTGTCCGAACTTCGAAGCTGTTAACGGTCTGAGGTGCCGGTGCTGTGCATGACCATCAAGGCTGTACATGCGGCACCTGTGACCAGGCAAGCTGAACAGATACGTTGGCCTGTGTTATTTCTGGGGTTCACGTATAAGCTTTTGTGGGTTTGTAGTGAAACAACTAGCAGGCTCTTCACCTTTGGCTGTGGTACGCTTGGCGAGCTCGGATATGCCGGTGGCCCGGAGTTAGGACAGCAGAGACTGGAAGGTCATGCTGCGGAGATCGCTAGTTGGTCCCTGTGTTATTCCCCGATGGTGATCTCAGGATCGTGGCGATGACCTGTCTTGCAGACCGGAGGTCCATAATTCAGAGAGAAGGAGCTTGAGCTTTGTCTTGGAATTGGTCAGGCAGTTCCTGTAAGCTTCCTCGAGGCTATCGGGGAAGAGGCAGTTTGGGGCTGAATCGCAGATCTTCGTAGGACCTGAGATCGGCTCCTTTTCATGCAGGCAGAGGTGTCCTCTGTGGCCCTTGGGAATGACCACTCCTTGGCCACAACCTTAATGGATCTACAGCCTGGTGACATCTGGTGGCGGAGGGTCCAAGCTGAGCGAACGTAGATGGCTGAGGCACTGGTCAAAGGCAGGGTCTATCGGTCTGCGCCCTGGACGCGTGGCCCGAACTCGGAGAACGCTGATGCATCTGGATCCATGCCCCTTTTGCTGTTACTACTTCCCTCCGGCTCCAGTACTTGAGTCCAGTGCCTTACTCTTTGAAGGTGGGGCCTTCTCTGCACGCCCAAGAGGCGAGGGGCTCCGGGATGCAAACAAACTCCCAGGCACCGCAGCAACAACAGCCCCCGTTCAAAACTGCCCCGAGAGAAGCCATTTGCACAGTGAATGGTATGTGAATGGTCAGCCCAATCTCCAAGACCATTCTGCATCATTCTGCCATCTCCACTCGCCAATGCATGACCCTGATGATCAGCAGCGACCCCGCGAGTACTGTGAAATACGCATTGTATGAGGTTACCGGATAACATCTGATGACTGTGGATGCAGCTTGCTCTGCCTCAATCTTTTCATGTCTTTACACAGACTTACATCCCGAACATTCGGGTGCGTGAATGGACACTCTTCACTCAGGGGCGGGCTTCGTGCACCGGGGAAGGGGTTTATATTCCCTCACCCTGAAGTCCCAACAAAAGAAAAGAGAGAGAGCGAAAGAGAGAGAGAGAGAGAGAGAGACAGAGAGAGACGCGCAAGGGGGCCTAATTGCTGGGCAGCAGAAGAAGAGGAAGAATAATCATATTTAAGAAGAAGATGAAGAAGAAGACGCAGAAGAATAAAATAACAGCAATAAGAAGAATACAAAGAGAGGCGCAGGTTTAAAAGCGCGCTTTGTGCCTCCGTGCGCGCAGCGTCTACCATGTGTGCATGGGAGTTTGTCATGGCTTTGTTGACAGGTTCAAGGCTGCAGATCGCTCACAAGGCGGGCCGCAAACATGCCCCCCCCCAACATACCACACACAAACACAAACACAGGCACAGACGCAGACATACACACAGACACAGACAAAGACACAGACACAGACTACCACAGACTACAGTCTTTGAATCCTTCGTTTCCTTTGCCTTCGGCAAAGAATGCTGGTGAGGGCATCTGTCGCTTTGTGCTTGCGTGCTGCGCGCCTCCCCTGGGTGCGGTGCGCAGGATCGCGATCAGAAGCCTCGGAGGCTGGCCGAATCCAAACGAGTGCCAAACCCACGGCGAGTAGGCCCAAAGCGAGCTTTGCTCTGCTTGTCAATTTGGATATATTTGGATGGTAGAAAGAGGCCGTGTCTCAAGTGCCCCAATGTCGCCATTTTCGAAGAGCTTGGGCTTCTAGAAACTACGCATCGCAGGGCGAGACGGAACTGGCTGGAGCCATAAATCCGACACCCACGCCCCTGCAGCGCAGCGCTCTTAGCCTCTTAGCTTTGGCTTGCTTTGCTTGTACGATCTTGCACGCTTCTCTTGATGTTGCTCAGCTATTTGCCCGTGTCAGGTGTCACGCCCCTGCTCAGTGTTTTTTTCTGCGTCGCTTGCCATGTCACCGCCAGTGGTCCCAATGGTCCCGCAAGCTCCACCAGCTCAACGCCAGAAGCGCACTGTTCCCGCGGCGAAAGATCTGAGCCTCAGAGCTGAGCACCTCCCGGGGAAGAAATCTCTGCGCGTCATCGGTCTTGGTGGCCTCCTGTGCACCATCTCAGTGGACATGGCGGCAACGGTTGCCGAGGCCCAGAAAGCAATTGCCAAGTCTGCCCGAATCCCTGCACGCGAGCAGCATCTCATGTACAACGACCGTCGGCTTTCCATGAATGAAATCTTGTGCGATGTGCTCGGCAAGGATGATGAGGTGACACTTCTCAGGTGTGATGCGAAGGCAATGGCAATCGAGTCAGCAATGCGCACGGGATCCCTGGCTCTTCAACGGGCGAGACGCTTGATGCAGCGTGTTCGCGACGCCTGAGAGCGGAGAAGCGCCGAGAATGGACTGGAAGGCAGGTTCGATGAAATTCGGAGACCACCCCAAATCCAATCTCACGCCCGAAGGATTGCACGATTACGAACTCGTAGTATTAAATTTGCTTATGCATGATGCGCTTGTACACAACCTCTGTGTACCTGGCATTTTTAAACAGCCTTGCGTAATTCGAGAAATCAGCGACAGATGCTACAGTACACAGCAGCCCTGAAGCTCGACCAGTGGCCAAGACGTGCCGCGCATCCGCAAGTACTGTGCTTGGACAGACTTGGACAGATTTGGGATCGGGAGGTGGCGGAAAATTCGGATTCGGAACGTACAGTCTGCCTCACCTGCCGCTTGTAAGAGCAGTCCCTGCCTGGCCGTGGCGTTCTGCTATCAGCTGCAGTCAACTGCAGCTTAACTTGTCAGCCAGGTTCTGCTCTCTTCTGTGGCTTCGGCCACCGCAACTCCTTGAAATCGAGGCTGTTGCCCTGACAGAGTCTCATCTGTTTCTTTCCATACGTATTTGTTGTATCATATTGTACCCAAGTGTGCACAACATACTCTACCGCTATGGCTGCGACTTGTTGAGACTGCTGTATGGTGCTCCAGTGCATCGAATTCAAAAGTTCTTCGCTGGCAAAGCGACGCAAAAACACAGCTGCACGCGAGAGATTGCGCCCCCACTTTTTCTTCGCGACGTGTGAAGAGCAGTCCCTGCCTGGCCGTGGCGTTCTGCTATCAGCTGCAGTCAACTGCAGCTTAACTTGTCAGCCAGGTTCTGCTCTCTTCTGTGGCTTCGGCCACCGCAACTCCTTGAAATCAAGGCTGTTGCCCTGACAGAGTCTCATCTGTTTCTTTCCATACGTATTTGTTGTATCATATTGTACCCAAGTGTGCACAACATACTCTACCGCTATGGCTGCGACTTGTTGAGACTGCTGTATGGTGCTCCAGTGCATCGAATTCAAAAGTTCTTCGCTGGCAAAGCGACGCAAAAACACAGCTGCACGCGAGAGATTGCGCCCCCACTTTTTCTTCGCGACGTGTGAATCATTGTGAATCCATGACTGCAGGTGTTTTCGAGTCGGAAGATGCATTGCGACCGCTGGTCAGTGCCTCGTGTGCGGACTCATTGCTGCGCTTTCTTCGCCGACCATGACCCTGCTTATGTCGAACGAAGAGTAAGGATATATGCTGCAAGGTATGCTTGGAGAACGTCTTTGTTACGAGCCCAGGCAGTTGCTGCTGGTGGCTCCAACTCATACGTCCTCAGTGACATCGGCGAGGCTCTACTTTGGAAGCGCTTGAATTCGCATGTCTGCGCAGCGGAACCCCATCTCTGTGGTTGCATCTTTCAGGGATTCTACTGTGTGGTTTCAGTTCATGCATTTCCAGCGCCCGTCACAACTGGGATGTTCCGGGAGGTCTTCGTATATGGTCAGCTGCACTCGCTCAGCGGGGACCCGTGCACGCTGCGGCACCTTTGGGGTGCCTCCAGCTGCATGTGGCCGGTTGAGGACGTTTACGGATCTGTTATGGCAAGTTTGCTACCGCTGTTGCTCCGGTGACGACTATGATCATCAGGGTCATTCTGAGAATGATACATGGGTTTACGAAAAGAGGGGTATCCTTCTTGGGATTCCCACAATAAGAAGTGTAGTATTTTGCTGTATACTAGGGGTCCTATTCTTGGGGAAATCCCCAGAAGTGGTCGCTATCATTGCTTTTTGCTGTTATGTTGTGGTTGCCGGTGCTGTTTGTTGCAAATCTGTTGCTACTAGTGAGAATGTTGTGTCGTGATTGTTGAGATGACAGGATTGCTGTGTTCACTACGGTGCAGATGCTTCTGATTGTCAAAGTCAGTGCAGCACTTGGGATAAGATTTGGACGATGACGGTCGCGCCAAGATGCAGGTAATGCAGCGGGGGGTTTAGAACCGACTCAAGGGCCTCCATCTCGATTGTAGACCGTGGACGTGGCGCGCTGCAAAGGTGTTTTTTTGGTTGTCTGCGAGGATCTTTCTCCCACCATCTCCCACCCGTGACTCCCACCCATGACTTGTCGCAGTTCCCAGTGGACCAATTTGGTACAA